ACCTTGTGAACGCTCTAACGACAGAAGTTATCAACCGATCTGTATGAACTTTATATGCATCATTCAAATTAGTAAAACAAAGAATCCTATTGAATTTCAGCAATTTCCGTTAATTACATCTAGAGTTATGGCCCTTGTTTCACTTTGTTGAATCTTGTGAACGCTCTAATGACAACCGTTATCATCCGATCTGTTTGAAATTGGTATGCATCATTTAAATTAGTGAAAAGAAGAACCCTATTGAATTTGAGTAATTTCCGTTAATTACGTCATGAGTTATGGCCCTTGTTTCACTTTGTTGTACCTTGTGAATGCTCTAACGACAAAAGTTATTATCCGATCTGTATGAAATTTATATGCATCATTAAGATTAGTAAAACAAAGAAGCTTATTGAATTTCAGCAATTTCCGTTAATTACATCTAGAGTTATGGCCCTTGTTTCACTTTGTTGCTTCTTGTGAACACTCTAACAACAAAAGTTATCAACCGATCTGTATGAAATTTATATGCATCATTTAGATTAGTAAAACAAAGAAGCTTATTGAATTTCAGCAATTTCCGTTAATTACATCTAGAGTTATGGCCTCGTTTCACTTTGTTGCTTCTTGTGAACAATCTAACAACAAAGGTTATTATCCGATCTGTATGAAATTTATATGCATCATTTAGATTAGTAAAACAAAGAAGTTTATTGAATTTCAGCAATTTCCGTTAATTACATCTAGAGTTATGGCCCTTGTTTCACTTTGTTGCTTCTTGTGAACACTCTAACAACAAAAGTTATCAACCGATCTGTATGAAATTTATATGCATCATTTAGATTAGTAAAACAAAGAAGCTTATTGAATTTCAGCAATTTCCGTTAAGTACATCTAGAGTTATGGCCTCGTTTCACTTTGTTGCTTCTTATGAACACTCTAACAACAAAAGTTATCAACCGATCTGTATGAAATTTATATGAATCATTTAAATTTGGGTAAAAAAAAGAAGCCTATTGAATTTCAGCAATTTCCGTTAATTACAACTAGAGTTATGGCCCTTGTTTCACTTTGTTGAATCTTGTGAACGCTCTAATGACAACAGTTATCATCCGATCTGTTTGAAATTGACATGCATCATTTAAATTAGTGAAACGAAGAATCCTATTGAATTTCAGCAATTTCCTTTAATTACGCCGTGAGTTATGGCCCTTGTTTCACTTTGTTGTACCTTGTTTATGCTCTAACGACAAAAGTTATTATCCGATCTGTATGAAATTTATATGCATCATTTAGATTAGTAAAACAAAGAAGCTTATTGCATTTCAACAATTTCCGTTAATTACATCTAGAGTTATCGCCCTTGTTTCACTTTGTTGAATCTTTTGAACGCTCTTATGACAACAGTTATCATCCGATCTGTTTGTAATTGATATGCATCATTTAAATTAGTGCAACGAAGATGCCTATTGAATTTCAACAATTTCCGTTAATTACACCGTGAGTAATGGCCCTTTTTTCACTTTGTTGTACCTTGTGAATGCTTTAACAACAAAAGTTATTATCCGATCTGTATGAAATTCATAGGTATCGTTTAAATTAGAAAAACGAACAAGCCTATTGAGTTTCAGCAAATTTCCGTTAATTACATCTAGAGTTATGGCCCTTGTTTCACATTGTTAAATCTTGTGAACGCTTGAACGACAAAAGTTATCCCCCAATCTGTATGAAATTCATATGCATCATTTAAATTAGTGAAATGAAGAAGCCTATTGAATGTCAGCAATTCCTGTCAATTACTTCTAGAGTTATGGCCCTTGTTTTACTTTGTTGAACCTTGTGAACGTTCGAACGACAAAAGTTATCATCTGATCTGTATGAAATTGATATGTATTATTTGAATTAGTAAAACGAAAAAGTCTGTCGAATTTCAACAATTTCTGTAGATTACTTCCAGAGTTACAGCCCTTGTTTTAGTTTTTAGAACCTTGTGAACCCTCAAACGACGAAAATTATAATGTCATCTGTATGAAATTGTCTATTAAATGCCCCCTAATTACCTACAAAAGAACAAATATACGGCAACTATCTTTAAATCAAAGCGACAGTAGATTGCTTTGTCCGACATTTTAAATTTACGTCTGTAACACATAAAGGCGGGGCCTCGTGTGCAATAGCCAATCAAAGTACTAATCTGATCAGAGTTGTGCAGTAGGAATACGCCGTAATTATGAACGTCCGAATCAATTTTGATAAAAACAACGCTTGATTTATTGTCAATATTTGCTGATAAATGAATGTTTTTTCAGTAGATTGGACTGTGTATGTGTAATAAGTACTAATAGTATAAAATTAACTGATTTTTAAGATGGCACATACATTAATAAAGAAATTGAGTTTGCCACTTGGAACTAAAGGCATCCAATCGTAGCTAAAAACAAGCACATCAGTATATCTCAGCGTTTTTAGTTACGTTCTCGTAGCTAGTGCCTACTGTTCGAAAAATTGGCAGATGTTTTTAATCTTCTGTTAATAGTTTTCTTGGTTACAATCAAGCCTATCCTTAATTAAAAGGACATTATGGGAGATCAGGTAAAGAGTTGACAGTTCTCGCTATATTGGTTAAAAAAAATACTTAACGTAAATAGAATATGCTCAAAATTTCAGTCAAATTGCTCTACTCTGAACTGAGATATTAGCTTTTGAATTTGAGGCTAGTCTCGATCATCGTTACTAAAGTCGGTACAATAAAAATAAAGTCTCGATCATCCACTTTTACGTTTAATAATCCTTCACAAAACGTATTCCAACCCGCTAAATATCGCAGACAGCGACGGCATCGAGAGTCGATTATGCCACCAGAGTGTTTTAATAATATATCGGTAAGGCGATTTGCATTCAATCAAAATTTCATCTTTAACGTCTAATTGAAATCGATTACTCTAATCAACGAGTTTATTGGACAGATTTCCGAACCACAAATCGCCTCGCAATATCACATATGGCTGAAGACTGAAGAATTGAGGAAAAATGTTAAAAAATTCATTTTTATACGCCCACATGTTCATGTGGCCGTATTATGCCGTCGCCCTTGTCCGTCCACAATTTGTTCGTGGACACTCTACAGTTCACAATTTTTATCCGATTTTGACGAAACTTAAAATATAGTTCTATCTCCCAAAGATCTCGGTTCCTTTCGATATTGACATGTAACGGCCACGGGCCATAACCTCATGGATTATGGTCCCTGATTGTACGAAAAATCACGTTTTTTAGCTTGTGGACACTATAGAGGTCACAATTTTCACCCGATTTTGATGAAACTTGAAATGCATGTTTATAACCCAAAGATATTGGTTCCTTTCGATATTCGCGCATATCGAATCGTAACCCCCTGAATGTACTAAAAATCACGTTAACATGTGGTCCCTCTCGAGGTCACAATTAACCGATTTAAAAAAAAAAAACGTTTGAATATATCACCGTTACACTGTAATGTTGGTTGAGTTCGAATTTCATGAAAAACGTGTCAAAACTGTCGGACAAAATGGCCACCCCTCGTACGCAAATAGTGTAAACATCTGGTATATCAAGGTCACAATTTTGATCCGATTTTGATGAAACTTGAAATACGGTAACCCAAAGATCTTGGCTCCTTTCGATATTCGTGCATATCGGACCGTAACGTCCTGAATTATGGCCCTTGATTGTACAAAAAACACGGTTTTAGCTTGTGGTCCCTGTAGAGGTCACAATTTTTATCCGATTTAAAAAAAACGTGTTAATATATCACCGTTACACACTAAGATCTTGGTTCCTTTTGATAATCACGCATATCCGAACGTAACTTCTGAATTATGGCCCCAGCTGATTGTTCAAAAAATAGCATTTCTGTGGAGGTCACAATTTTTTTTTCGATTTTAAAAACCATTTAAAGGCTCAATACCACTCTTGTTGTAACTGAATATGTCCCAATCTTTATTCTGGTCAACAAATTGTACTATTTTACAATATTCCAATTAATTGATGATACAAATTTCATCTTAATACACCTAATTAAAAAATTGAAAAATTCAACTAAATGATTTGAAAAGCCTGACGTAAAGCTTTTCAAATGTGACTTGTATTTAAAAAAAAATTTTGAACCCTCTGGACAAGTAAAATAGGATTTAATGGATAATTTACACAACAGGTAGGACACTAACACATCTAGTACTTAGAATAAGGCTATTTTTTATTTTCTGGAGCTGTTATTTTCAGACCATAACTTTCTGGATTATTGCCCCTGATTGTACAAATAATCGCGTTTGATTTTATTTTTTTCTCTATCCATCTCTTGCAAAATGTGGGCGTATCCTGCCTGACAGCCGCTGGTTCTTTCTGTTCTTGAGTACACCGCCCAAAAATAAAAAAATGAAAAGTTGTCCCAGTTGACTGTTCCTGAATGCCCCGTATTCGTATTACTTAGAAATATCCATGATATTCATATTTTAACGTGAAATTGAAAGAAAATGAACTAACGTCGGGCACGTTGTGTCGCTGTGGGGGAGGCCATCTTGGAAATCGAGCAGGTTGAAAGATTTGCATACTAGGGCCTAGATTTGGCTATTTTTTGACGTAAATGTCATACATGTGTTTGAAAAGGATTTGCAAATCGATTAGCCATTATCGGTTTCTTTTAAATTAAAAACGCCTTAAGTAGTAGGTGCGTTTTGACGATTTGATCGGGTGATCACGTGTTTTTTTTTTTAGAGGCGTGTATATATCCTTCATGGTCCAGAAACAAGAATTGTTTACAGCTAATCGGCGCATTTAACCATAGAACTAGAATATTCTAGTTCTATGATTTAACGAACTCATCAAAGTACTTGAGATCGACCATACTGTCACATGACATCTCCACTAATTCAAATCGATTGGCGATAGTATTTTTACTCTGTGGGAATTCCCCGACTGTTACGCATTTCCGGTTGTTCGAATATCAAGTATCTCCCCGGATGGAAAATTCCCATTGCCTCTCAAAGACTGGTTAATTTTTCTATACAGGCTAGGCGTTATTGGAAATTCCGAATCATTTTAATTCGTCTTTGAAATATTAACGCCCAAAATCACCTTATTTAGAGCCACAGCGACAAGAGAAATTATTGTAGACCGCTCGTGAAACAGCTATGATTGTAAAAATGGTAAGTACACTATCAAAAAGTTAAGTAATAATGTGCAATGTAATGTCTTCGAAAGAATACTACTAGGTCACATGACGTCAATGTGACTATGGTAAAGTCAAGGCAGGCCACTACGTATATTATAATAAGCAGAGGTGATTTTATTTGTTCATGCAGTAACTTGACTACCTTGCCGGGCTCTATAAAAGTTGAGTGTGCCTGCGCACACACTTGAAAATGTGCCTGCAGGGTCATACTGAAACACATGGATGTAGCCATGATTTGGTGAGTGGTGTATAAATATATCTGGCAAGCGGAGCGAGGCAAAAAAATTTTTGGGAGCGGGGCGTGGTCTTTTATGAAAATTAAACCCTTCTTGGTGTATTTTCAGAGCATCTGCTGCCTTTTGTATTTGGTTCAGTGCAAATCAAATTTCCATTTATATATTCAAATTTTACCAAATTTACTTAATTTTCATCAATGATACAGGGATCTAAAAACTTTTTGACACCACCCGACCGAGCATAAAATTGTCCCGCCCCACTCTAGCTGTTTCTCTGGATATGAGGACCTTTCAGTATTTGTTGTTTTGTTGTTTTGTTTTTTTTCAAATATTACTTTATTACTTTGAGATTAAAAATTAAAACTATTCTTAAAACGGTGTTTGTGTTTTATTTGAGTACAACGAATTATGACAACAGGTAGATATTGATAATTAAAACACGTTGTATTATTTGACTTGTTTGTAATGTTGTTGTACGTGTCTCACGAATATTATTTATTATTACGGTGGGATGAGAATCAGGTCAGGCAGAAACTGAGAAAGCTCTCATCGTCCTCCTAGTCCTACTCTCGGGCCGTAGCAAATCCACGGTCAACACAGGTAAGAAATAAAATAAGAAACATCATGAAAATTTGCAGGCACGTGTTGGACAATTACGACATTCAAACCTGTAACATTGGAGTGCCGTAAATTGGTCTGGGTGACCTATTTACGGCAAATAAACAAATATAAAGACCGTAGAATAATTGTAAAATGAATATACCTAGGCCTAAACATCTTCTAAGTATAAATAATCAAAATACCAATACATCTTTCTTTAATCTAATTTGGGATGATAGGGTCTACTACGGCACACAAAAATAAATTATGCCGTGACAGACATGGTTTGCGTACGTCGGCTTTTAGTTTAACTTTTACCATGGCTTTGCCGTTTAATTGCCGTGGTAAATTTTGAGCGCCGAGTTTGTGTACAGAGAAGGACGAAGGGGTTTAAATACGACTGGGCGGCTTTCTTCGATTTTTTCTTTGTGCTGGGCGGCAAAAAATAGTGCCGGGCGCAGGCGCCGCCCGGCGTGGCTACATCTTTAAAAATGTGCCCGCAAAATTTTTTTTTAAAGCAAATGTGCCTGCGTGCGCATGTGCGCGGAAATATCGATGCCTGCTACCTTGATAGCTAGATGGCACTTATTATTAAATTGTCTGATAGAATTGGGTCTCGCGATTGGTAGATTTCATAATTCTTGTGCAAGGTCATTTCATATTCGCATTGTTTGGTGGTTAAATTGTGTTCAAAATATCTTATTAAAAAAGTTATAGATTAGATATCAAATTATATGGCTGATTCTCTTACTGAAATAATTTAATATCATTTGAATATAATATGAAAAATGTTAAACATTTTTTCTCTTATTTGTACATAGGTTTGAAATTGAATTGATACAATTACTTACAAGTCGGTTGTGATTTTGCAGATAAATTCAATTCAGTCCATCAGGCAATATATTGACTATGGTACCATACTTCTCTATATATAGCTTTCTAAAGATGTAGTATATATTACATAAATTCATCCTGGATAGCATGGTTAATGAACTATTTTATTAATAACTCAAAATTATATGATTATGATTAGTTTTAAATTTTAACGCTGGTCCGACCAAGTAAAGTAGGTGGGCCATAACTCTCCTATTGTTAATTTTTTAATGTTGAAACCACAATGTCACACTGATAGCAAGATCCTGTTCTGTTGTTTGTTTTGTGTTAATAATATGCCAAACCATATTAACCCTTAAAATGTGCAGGATTTTGGCCAAAACAAACATTTGGTCTTAATGGCCAAATGGTCAAGGTCAAACAATTGGGTCATTTAATTAGTTAAAGGAGAACTTTAGCTGTTGCAGATTTCAGATATTTTATTGAAAATAGTTTCTACCATGCTCATCCATTTTGGCCTTTTAAGTAACAGATTTATCACACACACAAAAAGTATGATCAAAGATATTGATGGTGACAGACATTGTCCTAGATAATGATTATAACATGAAAAATCCACAATGACTAGAGTTCACCTTTAAGTAGGCCTGTATTACATGTTAAGAACCCTTTATTTTATTGATATTTTTCAGCACACAATATCACACATGTGGCTACAAAGACATGATGACCTCCCATTTCAAGAGGCTTAGAATTACGGTGAATGATTTATTGCGCATCCGTAATATATGTGTACATGCTAAGATATTTATAGTCAAACTCATTGAAAAAGCAATTTAAAGTGAAACTGTTTTATTATATCTTTTTGGAGGAAAATAATGATATTGACTAGACATTAGGCCCACATATACATGGTATGGTTGAAAAAAATTTGGTTCAAAATAAAATCATTTTCATTTTAAAAAGATTAAATTTTGGAATTATTTTTTTTAGTAAGATAATATTGTTTATATCAACACAGTGACAAAGTAAAAAGGGTTTTGTGTACATTGCAGTCCAATCTCTGCTCCCAGAGAGAAGTTTACAGTTCGTTTAAACTTGTGTCTGGGAGCCGTAATTGATTGCAGTCATGAAACTGGTTAGATCCATTACCCTGTATCTTGAACTTTGCACAATCTCATTAAAATACAGATCTATATTTCGTTTCGTTTTTTTTACACTTTCGATTGTCTCTACTAGATCTGTCCAGTTGTAGTGAGCAGTCGCGTCAGGGGTCATACAGGCAGCTTTTGACCTTATGACATCAGACATTTGATTAACGAGTCAGCATTGATTGATGTTTCTAGTAGGATACATGTACCCACAGTTCCGTACATTGCACGCCAAAAACTCTGGCTGATCCCTCACATCACCCAGAACGCGGCTTATACATTATAACAACTCTTCCGCATCCTAGTGTAGTAAAGACAAGTAAAACGAAATTTTGAACTATAAAAATAGGCTCTGTGTTTTAATCAAATTGATCTTCAGATAATGACATAGTAAAGTAAGAGTGTAATTAAACATGCCATACACTCTCTTTAAAACAAGCTGTAACTGTGACTTTAATAAATTAAAGGATAGAAGTAATCTGTGATTAACATACATGTAATTGTAACAAGCCTTTATTTTAGTTGATGACTCCGAATGACTCATCTTACTAACTTATAAATAAGTATTCTCTATATTAATATTATTGTCGTTTGATAAATATTTATTATACACTGTAATGGAAAGACATGGTTTTTATACGCCCACATGTGGACGCTCTAGAGGCTAAAGTTAATATCCGATTGACTTTAGATTTATACACAGTGTTTAAGGTCATGAGATGAAGAAGCCTATTGATTTTCTGCGATTTCCAATAATTATTGCCAGAGTTATGGCCCTTGATCACTTCAAAAAATCTTGTTGACGCCCTAGAGGCCAAAGTTAATATCCGATTGACGCTCTAGAGGCTAAAGGTAATATCGATTGACTTTAAATTTATACGCAGTGTTTGAGGTCACGAGACAAAGAATCCTATCGATTTTCAACGATTTCTGATAATTACTGCCAAAGTTATGGCCCTTGATCACTTTGAAAAATCTTGTGACGGTCTTGAGGCTAAAGTTATCATCCGATTGACTTCAGATTGATACACAGAGTTTAAGCTAAATCCATGATATCAAAAGTTTTGTATACTAAATGTTAGCATGGGGCAGAACTTTATAAAAAAACCACCAAATTCTAATGGTTTTCTGATAATTACTTAATGAGTTGTTACTCTTAATCAGATTTTAGTGTATTAATATTATAAATGTTTCATTACCGAAAAAAAGTAAAAATATGCGACAACTCTTGTTGACTGCCCGGATGATTTAGCTGCTGTGGGCGTATGTTTCGTTGCCTGGCAACCTATCTTTACTCTAGTTCACACTTGATGCCCTTTCGTACCAAATAAGGTAACATTTCGAAAGTCCGGGGCTACTTATGATTGACATTGTTGAGACTGAAATAAATGTTGGATGCTATCAAATGTAGTTGAGTGAAGTTAAAAAAGTTTTGTTTGAACCTGTTATACAGGTTCTTTAAGTGGCAGGAGACAAAATAATTTGTTTTTACATAAATAAAAAATCTGTGAAAGTTTAAGTGTAAATTGACTATTGATTGTTGTTATCTGATTATAAATATTTATCTTTGAGTTATGTCCAATATACTTATTACAAATATATAACAACAACAGTCTTATCACAATTTAATATCTTTTTTTATTGTGCTAGGACCAGGCTCTACTGAATTTGGTAAAACTTTATAATATTGTTTATGTTCAGATTTATAGAATCTTGTGAATGTAAATGCAGAATAGAATTCTTGGTGGAATATTTTAAATTCTGAGAGATAGTTTATTATGGTGAGGGTATAACAAGGATGAACCTCATCGAATTCCCAAAATATTTACATGGACATTAGTTAGAGGTTACTTTCCATTCATAAAGCTCTAGATGGAATTTTTAAAACTTAACTGGGAGTTGTTCACATTGATTTTAGATTCAGCATAGACACCTTTGCTTAAAAAGAAAAGGTACAGCTAAAAAAACACCCAGGAAAAACAGAATGGTTTGAAAGAATAAGTTTATATAACTAGGCAGGACAAGCTTGTGTCTATGTTTAGATTTGAAATATAAATAGGATTTCCCATTCATAGTTTGTAAGAAATGTTTTCCCAGTAGCTATGGTGGTTTGTCAGTGAGCAGGTCATGGTCAAAGGAATATATCTTTTAAAGGCTTGATGTGTCATTTGTATTTTCTCTGAAATGTCAAATTTCTCACAGCTTAATACCTATGCTAAATAAATGTACGGTAGATCTACTCAAATTAATTATATAAGATTTAATTAAGAAACAAAATCAAATACAAACATTAGATAATCTTTCGGCTTGGATTCAGTTAGATCTAAAGTAGGTCCATCAGGTTTCTCAGCTGCCATCTTTTATTGGTAACCACCTTAATTGGGCTCTTATTGCTGTTGACAGTTCATCAATAGGTTGGGGGGGGGGGGGGGGTGTCTTCTTATTCTTAAATTAAAACACTTGATTCAGCTAACTATAGGACTTTATGTTGATACAGTAAATAACCATCATAACAGACAATGTCACCATAGTCTGTCAAGACCTTATAATTATCTTTCTATGGTTGAATTATAAGGTCTTGGCAGACCGTGGTGGCAGATTGAAGACATTTCAATTTATCATATCTTTATAAATACTGAACAAAATTGGACCCTTATTCCTATTAGAGATTCAACTTTCAGAACACATGTTTTGTAGTTTTCAAGGGACTCATATAGCGCTAAATGATGCATCACGCCTTTAAACAATTGAGAGTATGAGGATTCTCATAAGCAAGCATAGAAATAATGATTTTAGTTGTACCTGACAAACTGTTACAAGGTTTTTGATAGTTGAGATGCCTTTCTTCATTTGGGATGACTATGAATAAATTTTTGCAATCAAAATAGGTTTAAAAGTTTCTTTATGATGGTCTGATTAAATTAAAACAACTTCTGGAATATGATAATGCCAGACAATATGTCAGTAATAGATCTAGGATAAAAAAAATAGACAAAAATGCATCAACCAAGTTTTTGTTTTACCAATAATAGATATATTCCATCCCCCCAGTTTAATATCAGTTTAGGTAAAATATAATTTTGTGGACATCCACAGATAGTAAAATTAGAAATTTCCTTAATAAAAAAACGTCAATGTGCATGTAAATTTGAGCATTAAGCCTACCATCGTTAGTCATTATTTGTTTATGTGGTGTATGTAAAGACATGTATGTCAACATCACATGCCGTATGTCTATTTCAACACTATATACAGTAACTGGGTATGTACATGTATTAAAATAATAGTGATAAACCTAAACTGTTGTGAACATTTGAATGATAAAGGCCATTGATAAGGACATGTATCTACATGTATGTTGCTAAAATGAAGGATACAGTAATTGAAACACAATGTTATATTTCAAGAATAAACCGAATCCCTTTCCTGCTCAAACCAAACATTTTGTAGAATTGTTACATTACATGCCAAATTATGATTTATGACATATTGTCAGATAATTTATGACAAAGCAGTAGCAAGGGGTTGGTTTCATCATAAACACACAAATTACATTCTGTAATGCTGGTATTTTATTTTCTCAGTACTAAATTGTTGAATGGTCCAATGTGTATACATTGGCGTGCATGTAAAAGATTTCGAAATAAGATTATGCCGTAATGCTTCTGTCCGGACCTAATTTCTCTCACAGAAACTCTATGGCGTATGCTCATCTTCATTAGCTCAATAAAGTAGGATGTTAAACCCCATTTCATTTTTATATTGTCGTCGCGTCCGTCTGTTGTCCACAATTTATTGTGAACACTCTACAGACTACATATATCATCAGATTGGTTTGAAATTGATATATGTTGATTATATTAGTGAGATGAAGTCTATTCAATTTTAATAATTTCCGTTAATTTCTTCTGGAGATATGGCCTTTGTTTAACTTTATTATCATCCGTATGAAATTTATGTTCATCGTTTAATTTAGTAAAACGAAGAAGCCAATTGAATTTCAGCGATTTCCGCTAAATACATCTAGAGTTATGGCACTTGTTTCACTGTGTCGAACTCAGTGAACGCTCTAACGACAAAAGTTATCATCCGATCTGTATGAAATTTATATTTATCATTTAAATTAGTAAACGAAGAAGCCTAGTGAATTTCAGTAATTTCCAATAATTACTTTTTGATTTGTGAACCCTGTTTTACTTTGTTGAACAATGTGAATGCTCGAATGATAAGTCATCATCCAATCTATATAAAATTTATATACGCATTATTTAAAGTAGTAAAATGAAAAAGGCTGTCAAATTTCAACAATTTTTGTATATTACTTCCAGGGTTTACAGCTTTGTTTCAGTTTGTAGTACCTTGTGAATCCTCAAAGGACGAAAATTATAATCTGATCTGTTGACCACTCGGACGATTTAGCTGCTGTGGGCATATGTTACGTTGCCAGGCAACCTATTTTATTTAATGATGGTCCCACCCTTACATAACAAGATGTCTAAATTACAGTGTTAACAAATGGTTGCATTTTGAAAATTGAATTGTAACTGAATGTATGATGCTTCATGACCTTGAAAAATAAAATTTAAAGTTATACGTACTTAGTATGTATTACAATGAATAAAACAAGAAAAAAAAATCTTAAATTTGAAATAGAATGTGAGATTCTCCAATCATACATGTAAGTTGTAACTTGATGGTTGTGTATTTTAAAACACTAATATAGATTTCCGTGTATAGTCCCTGATTGATGGTTATGTAAACTGAAAGAAGAATACTGAATACCAAACAATATATTTAATCAGTATTTTGAAAGGATTAGTAAAACCATTATGAATTAAACAGATTAAGAATATATTATAGAAATATAAAACTTGTTATTAACCTAATAAATGCTATTGTCAGCTGACCATGATCTGTTAACAAAATCATATTTATGAAAGTTCTGTCACAAGACCATGACACTTATCTACAGCAATAGATTTACTTTATTACCTTGTTACTATAAATAGATCAGGTAAATTTACTGTTATTATGATGTTGGTGTAGTATAAGTACTATAAGTAATGGATATTCTAGTATAAGCTTATATACACCGGTAGTGATAGGTAAAGTTTAAATCTAATATTATTTGAATATAAAGAATAAAATAAGTTATCCTATAGATATATATTCTAAGATGAAAATAGTTATTTGAATATGAATAGGGAAATAAGTTATACTATAGATATATATTACATAAGATTAGTAAAGTTTTTTTTTTATATAAACAACATTTTATTTAATTTAAAAATGGATTGGGGAACCTGGTAGGCCTATGTTTACAAAGTTATTTGTTAAAGCCTAATATTTATTATCTTTTAACATGTCTCAATCTGTTTGTTTTGAATTTGATATTATAAGTGTTGATATAAAATTCTTTTTTTCTTAAAAAAAACCCAATGAATTACCAGTACAGGCTACATGTACCTTATAAGTGTGAAACATACAGACTGGTTTCTGACTCCTGTTTCACTAAAAATCACACTAACATGTCACAGGGATGTAATTCTTAGTGTAACAAGATCTGAACAATATATATCTTATTCTTATTGAAGTTATTGAAAAGTGAGTAGTTTAATTGGTTAAAAGGTGGTTTATTTTGACTTAGTGGGTCTTCATAAATATATAATTAAGTGTGTCCTCAAAGCTCTATAGTGATAAGATTTACCAAACTCAAAAATTAAACTTTTTTTTTTTTTTTTTTCAGAATTAAAAAGAGCTCAACAGTTGTTAATTGGTGATAATTTTGTTTATATTAAGTATTTTGTGTGATATGGCTAGTGCCAATCAAGGACACAATGAAGAAGACATCAGTATTATAAATCGTTCATCAGACACAAATGATGACGGCTATGAAGACGAGGCTGACATTATATTCCAAAATTTTCAATTAAGGAACACAGCAACAGATAATTCTGAATCGGTGCAAGTTTTTCGTCAGGCGTATGATGAATTGAAATCCAGATTTAATGAACTTTACATAAAATCCGAAGGCCAAGCAAAGAAAATAAAAGAGTTGGAAAATTCCAACCTTAACACTGGGATGGATTTTAGCGAATCTGATTCATTTTTGTTTGTTAGTTCCGAGGGAAGTGGTAAGAATGCACATGATAACAATGATACAGACATTGGTGTGCTGAAAGGTCAAGTGGCTAATTTACAGCGTAAATTGATGGTTGCGGAATTTGAAGTGAAAACTGTAACTGCAAAAAAATTTCAACTTGAAGAAAGTTTGAAATCCGTTAGACAAATGGCAGAAAATGATCAGTCACAGGAACGGGATACAATGGAATATCTTCAGAGAAAGATCGAAGATTATAAAGAGAGGGTTCGACAGTTGGAATCCATTAAAGGTAGTGATTTGCAACAGGAAATTATAAACATGCGCAACGAGTGTAAAAAGCTGAAGGAAGAAAATAATAAGTTAGCAAATGAATTAAAACATTGTAAAAGTGAAAATACACTTTTAAAACAGAAACTTACTGGTAGAATCGAAAGTAGTCCGGCTGGAAGTCTGGCACTTAGTAATGGTACTATAGCATCGTTTGGTATCGGTACATATGCATCAAATGGCTTGACAAGAGGGATGACAAATGAAGTTGATCAACTTTCAATGTTGTCGTTGAACTCTTCTCTACCAGCAACAGATGAACTCAAAAAGTTAAAACAATATATTAAAAGCTTGAAAACAACAATTGAAAAACAGCATGCTGCTCTTAAAAAAATAGGTAAGTAAATCCTTCCTTTCGTGTAACCTATAAATTATACAGGTAAACAAAATAAAAAGGTTAGTGAAACTAAGTTCAGCTTAGAAAGTACAAAACCTACCAGGTACTTTAAAATGATGCCTGGACCAATATTTTCTTGTTTTTCATTTTCAAAGAATTAATTCATCTAAGTCTGTTGTTCTGCCCCAAAAACTGTTAGAGTTTAGATTTTTTTTTAACTTTTGTGTCAACTTTTCAGGAAGGTACATCAAAACCATCAAAATATAACATTTGCTTTGATAATATCTGCATAATTATCTTGGATGGAAGTGGATGTTAGTCCATAATTGTAGTACTTAGATGCATTCCTTGGAAAAATTTTTAAACAATAGCAAAAAATTGTATTTTGTGTTAATGACATTACTTTTTCTTATATTTGTAGAAGAAAATCCTGCAATAAGAAAGATTTTAGAAGAGAGCACAAGTATGTCACTGGGGAGAAGAAGAAGGGCAAGTAATTCAAGCTGTAATGGAGTTGTTGAGTTGGAGGACAGTAACCCTAATCTGTCAAATGGTGTAAATTTAAGGAACAATGGTGGAACAGGTAGTGAAGAATCTGTTCGAAGCGCTTTTGATCCACGACCCATGTCATCATGCCTTCCTGCCTCGCAACAGTTGCAAGTCAATCTACCAGAAGTATATGACAATGTTCAACAGACCAAAAACCCAGGACATTTTCCGTTTAAATCACAGTCGGAAGTAATTTATCGACAACAAAGTCATCAAAGAGATTTACAACGCAGTCGTTCAGTCGCTGATAGGCAGTTTACATTAGAAAGTGCGCCAGGACCAGTTTTTGAGAAAGAAACAACAGGATTCATCCAAGTTGATCGAAATCGCTATGGTGATCATAGAGCGTCTGGTTCGTCTGTTGAGCCAGGTAGAGTTAATCCTCCTTTCAGGTCTGATTCTCCTTTCCAGCCGTCACCATACCAACCCCCATCACCGTACCAACCATCCCCATACCAGCAACCAGCCCCTTGTCAACCATTAATACCTGAAGTAACACAACAGATTTGTCCTGTATGTAGCGAAAACTTTACACGTAGAAGTGTCAGTGACTTTCAAAGGCATGTGTTTAATTGTGTTGACGCTGATGAGCAGCCGTCTACGTTAACCACAGAATCGGAACCAGATAGAATATGTCCAATGTGTAACGAACGTTTCCCACCAGCGGTTGCACAGATAATGGTTGATAATCACGTCAACGCTCATTTCGGAGAAGCCCCCATTGGTGATGGTTTTGAAATTCTTAATACTGGTAACTAAATAAAAGATATGAAGAAGATATGTATGGTACCGGTATGGATTTAGTGATGTCATTAATAACTATGATAGAATCATGGTGCTAGATCCTTTGAATGTATTGCTGATTATATTTTCTTTTTATACGCCCACATTGAAATGTGGTCGTATATTGTCGTCGGTCCGTCCCTCCCTCAGTCTGTGTTTACGCCGATATATAATCGTTTTGATTGACTTAGGTTGATACACAGAGTTTAAGGTCTTGAGATGAACAAGTATATTGATTTTCAATGATTTTTGATAACTTGAATAGCTAAATCCATGATATTAAATGTTTTGTATACTAAACTTAGCATGGGCAGAAAAAATTCAAATGATTTTCTGATAATTACTTAATGAGTTGTTACTCTTAATCTGATTTTAGTATTTTATAAATTACCGACAAAAGTAAAAATATGCGACAACTCTTGTTGGCTGCCCGAAAGATTTAGCTGCTGTGGGCGTATGTTTCATTGCCTGGCAACCTATTTTTAAAATTTAAAATACAGTTTAGTGGATCGAAAAATGAGAGTTTGGAAAAGGCCCTTGATATAGCCTACATTATACATATTGGCCAAACACTGTAATTAACCATACACATGTATGTTTGAGCTGTGGTGTGCTATAGTTTTTTGACAGTAAAATAGGCTGATATAAATTTTCATAAAAACATAAATATTGCTACAGGTATATAATTATGATTAGGTGGTGCTTGCTTTATCTGTAATATAATGTAGGTACATGTACACTATAAACAGCGATAACTGTGATAAACTAAAATGGACTAAAGACTATAATTGTTGTAAATATGTATAAATGTTAATATAATGTCATACATAACAAGTTTGGTTTGTGGCTTATCATGGTGTTAAAACTTGTGACCTGGAAATTTGTATATTTTGTTATTACTATATCATAACTGTGTAATATATGTATGAAAAGGTAATATTTTCGTCAACATTTTGGGATTGCTGGTGTCAAATTAGTCTGTGTGCTTCTAGCATGAGAACATTGCATACCAAAGATCTAACTTTACCAGTTCATCATCAAAATACTCTCCTCAAAAATAGTGTCAAGAATATTTAAACTTTCATAAGCAATATACCATGCAGTTATGAGATGCTAAGTTTTTAGAGATCTATAATACTAGCTATGATAATGATTAGCAAATTATCACACTGTTACTAACGACATTTCGAGGAGAAATATAACCAGCTGAACACCTACAGTTAACCATGGATAAAAATTTAATGAATCTGCCTTATCCCTGTTTCAACTAAGGCAGGATTTTGAGGGTACTGCAGTAACTGTACCCTCCCAAAATGTGTCTTTAGATATTAGAGTCGAAGATGCTAACTTAGTAACTGCTACTGGTGTTGGGTTTGGGTATATGAGGAACTAGTAGATCAAACTTGTACCTTGTCATAAAATTATTTACGGAACTACAATCTATGAGTAATATTTGCATATGTACTGTTAAATTCTGAAATATAATATAAATCGCAATCTACAACACTGTAATTCATGTATAAAGACAGTTTATATTTTGTTCATTCTATTTTTTTTTTAAATTGTATGCTACTTCACTACTAAATGGATAAACTTTTTTCCATTTGAAATATTTATGTTAAGACTTTTAATGAAAATGTGTAGTTTTAAATTCTGTCAGTCAATTACTCTTTCGGGTTTCCAAAAATTATTTGTGAAGTGATTTTTAAAAAAAACTGAGTAGAGGTTGTGAACATTTTTATTGGATTATTGGTGTCTACATATTTTGTCTTTGAACATCATATGAATGAATACATGCACAAAATCAACAGTGATCATCCAATTTTGATGAAATTTGGCACAGATGTGTGGCTTTAATAAAGAAGACCAGTTCTGTTTGAATCTGGATATAACCAGACATTATTTATAGTCTTAAATATCTTGTGTACATGTAACCATATATAAGTTATGTTATATGGGCGAGTTTATTCTTTATTAATATTGTTAATGTTAAAGATACATTATGGAAGATTAGATAAAGAGCTGGCATTCCTCACTATAATAGTTAAAAACTAGGTAATATAAAGGCAATTTGCTGAAAATTTCAGTCAAATTGATCCACTCTTAACCGAGATTTTAGCTAATATTGAATTTTTGGCCTAGCCTCGATCATCATGAATGGAAGTCGAACAGCAAATCGGAAACTAATCCAATAAACATTGCAGGCTAGCGATGACATCAAGAGTTGATTATGGTCTGGATAAGTTATTTAATGTCTAATTAATAAATTAGATGACATTCAGGCCTAAAGAAAGACCTGCAATAGGAAGATTTAGCTCTTGCTTAGTGTATGTTTAATATACATGCAGCAGATTATTTCAGATTTTTATAACAAAAATATTACTCACGTTTGGTATTTATTTCTTCACATCAATTTGCTAGATATATTATTCTTTTACGTTTAAAACAAATTGTTATGTTAATAAAAGTATAATAATGAAGATATTGTGGTTTTTTTATTATATGCCTTGCACCAATTGTGAACATCAGATATTTGATTTGATAAGAGTACACGAATATAATCGGGGTTATGTTATAAGGAAAGTCTTTGGTGATCATATTCAGTCTAAACCAGCGGCTGCCAGGCAGGATACGCCCACATTTTTGAGAGATGGATAGAGAACAAGCTAACAAGAAAGTGATTTTTCCTACTATCAAGGGCCATAATTCAGGAAATTACAATTCAATATGCGCGAATATCGAAAGGAACTGAGATCTTTGTGTTATAAACTTACATTTCAAGTTTCAACAAAATCGGATAAAAATTGTGACCTCTATAGGGTCCACAACCTTGATATACCATATTTTTATGCTATTTGAGAACGAACGGCGGCCATTTTGTCTGTCAATTTTGGGCCGATTTTCACGAAATTCAAATTCAACCTTCCTTAGGGTGTAACGGTGATATAATAATACGGTTTTTTAAATCAGATAAAAATTATGACCTCTACAGGGTTCACAAGCTAAAAATGCGGTTTTTTGTACAATCAGGGGCCATAATTCAGGAAGTTACAGTCCGATATGCGCGAAGATCGAAAGGAATCGAGATCTTTGGGTTATAAACTTACATTTCAAGTTTCAAAAAAATTGGATAAAAATTGTGACCTCTATAGGGTCCACAACCTTGATATACCATATTTTTACGCTATTTGAGAACGAACGGTGGCCATTTTGTCTGTCAATTTTGGTCCGATTTTCACGAAATTCGATTTCAGTCATCCTTAGGGTGTAACGGTGATATAATAGAACGTTTTTTTAAATCGGATAAAAATTATGACTTCTTTAGTGTCCACAAGCTAAAAACGTGATTTTTCGTACAATCAGGGGCCATAATTCAGGAAGTTACGGTCCGATATGCACGAATATCGAAAGGAACCGAGATCTTTGAGTTATAAACTTACATTTCAAGTTTCAACAAAATCGGATAAAAATTGTGACCCCTATAGGGTCCACAACCATGATATACCATATTCTTACGCTATTTGTGAACGAACGGCGGCCATTTTGTCTGTCAATTTTGGCCCGATTTTCACGAAATTCGAACTCAGTCATCCTTAGGGTGTAACGGTGACATAATAGAACGTTTTTTTAAATCGGATAAAAATTATGACTTCTATAGGGTCCACAAGCTAAAAACATGATTTTTCGTACAATCAGGGGCCATAATTCAGGAAGTTACGGTCCGATATGCACGAATATCGAAAGGAACCGAGATCTTTGGGTTATAAACTTACATTTCAAGTTTCAACAAAATCGGATAAAAATTGTGACCCCTATAGGGTCCACAACCTTGATATACCATACTCTTACGCTATTTGGGAACGAACAGTGGCCATTTTGTCTGTCAATTTTGGGCCGATTTTCACGAAATTCGAACTCAGTCATCCTTAGGGTGTAACGGTGATATAATAGAACGATTTTTTAAATCGGATAAAAATTATGACTTCTATAGGGTCCACAAGCTAAAAACATGATTTTTCGTACAATCAGGGGCCATAATTCAGGAAGTTACGGTCCGATATGCACGAATATCGAAAGGAACCGAGATCTTTGGGTTATAAACTTACATTTCAAGTTTCAACAAAATCGGATAAAAATTGTGACCCCTATAGGGTCCACAACCTTGATATACCATATTCTTACGCTATTTGGGAACGAACGGCGGCCATTTTGTCTGTCAATTTTGGGCCGATTTTCACGAAATTCTAACTCAGTCATCCTTAGGATGTAACGGTGATATAATAGAACGGTTTTTTAAATCGGATAAAAATTATGACTTCTATAGGGTCCACAAGCTAAAAACGTGATATTTTGTACAATCAGGGGCCATAATTCAGGAAGTTACTGTCCGATATGCGCGAATATCGAAAGGAACTGAGATCTTTGGGTTATAAACTTACATTTCTAGTTTCAACAAAATCTGATCAAAATTGTGACCTCTATAGGGTCCACAAGCTAAAAACGTGATTTTTCGTACAAACAGGGGCCATAATCCATGAAGTTTCGATCCGATACATGCCAATATCGAAAGCAGCCGAGATCTTTTGGGGATACACCTATATTTCAAGTTTCGTCGAAATCGGATAAGAATTGTGACCTGTAGAGAGTCCACAAACAATTGTGGACGGACAGGGGCGGCGGCATAATACGTCCACATGAAAATGTGGACGTATAAAAATCCCAAAAATATATCAGTAAATGTTGTTAAAACGATGTATTTATTCCTGTTAAAACATTTGGTAGAAAATTACTATAATGCTATCAACCAAATCTCTTGAATATAGCAAGAGTTCATGAAGAGCATATAGGTAGATTGGTGTCCTTAACTATTTCATTTTTCACTGGGGTCCCTATAACAAAAAACACATCATCTCCACCTGCCCTACCGTTTAAAGATATGTTTCTATGAGGACCAAGGTACTAACCAAATAACCAGCAATTAGAGAACATCTATAGTATTAGGGAAAACATGTTTGTTTCTAAAAACAATGTATCCCAAGTCTTTTCTATTACAAATGTTACTGCAATCCACGTATTGGCCTAGAAAGTTCATAATGATTTTTTTTGCGTGGTTCCACCATGTCAGTGCTGTAGGCAGGAGGGCTTGGCAAGGGACAATGTATAGTCGTTGGAATGGAAAAATTGAGGTTCCGTGTACACATTGGCGTGCACATAAAAGAACCCTTGACAGTTGGAATTTGAAATAAGAGTAGGCTGTAGCACCACTGTCCGAGCAAAATTCCCCTCATATCACACTGTATGGCATATGCCCATCTTCATTAGCCCAGTCGGCATATATACCCAACTTCATTACCTTAAGTGTAGAAAAGTAGGACGCTAAACCCCATTAATTTCATTTCATTTCAATTTTGAAAAGTCTTAAAATCGGACATAATTCAAACCACATAAACAATATTTTAAACACTAAACTTTATTGATAAATACTGTAAAATACTGAAGTGCATATTTGTTTCACATCTGGACGGATAACAGATAAATAAATAAATATAAATAATTTCATAAAATATCTATTCACACATTAGGATGGAATTGTATTCAAATAAAACATATTCTCAATTTATAAACACAACAATATCTCAAGTTTGAAGCATTATTTTAAATAAAAATATTTTCAGTTTATAAATACTATCATGTTTCTTTGGATGGTTAGTGTAAAGTTTTGAATTAATAGAATTATGTACATCATGATTTTAATACATACATTTATATTAGCTGGAATGTCATTTAAATAAAGTTGCCTTTGATAGTTTGAGTCAGGACTGCATTGGCATACTGGGTCTTAAAACCAGACGGAACATCCAGTTTTTCAGCAGTATTTTTGTCCAACTCAGTAGGACAATTTTTACCTGGTAGTCCCACCATTATTGCCAGTCTGTCCCTGCAGGACTGGTAAATATAAAGGAAATTAGAATTGAGGAATACTGCATAATATTTTCAGTAAATTATCACAATATTCTCTTCTAAATTAATACAAATTATAAAATACCATTTCAGTTATCTAGTTTATGAGACACATGGATTTAATTTAGTTAATATCTGATCTGAATGTACTAAATAGCTGAAAATAATCAGTTGTCATCTGGGAGCATTTATATATGTATAACTATAATAAAATCACTTCTCTCTAGTATAAATATTTAAAACATTTAAATATGGGAGTAAAAAGAATATTAAGGAAATACTAAAAAATAAGTCAAGGAACTCCAGCTCCATATTTTTGGCATAATGCAAGGAAATTAGAAGAAAATTGTTTGAAATTTTTAAAAAAGTAATGTAGGTCAATGAGGAGATTTTCAATGAATATTTACAATTATCACAGTTCTGCTTCGACAAGTGCTATATCATAGCAACTGGCAGTGTTACGCTTTTTCACTAATACTACGTGCCCCAAACCCACCCTCTTTTCCTCTCGTCTGCTCATGCAGATTTGAAAAATATCCTCTAAATTTGTTAATACAAAAAAGACCTACATTTGTAAGCAATCTTTCATGAACAAGCTTTTTGAAATTTTAACTTTTTAAATAATTAATAATTACGTTCCAAATTTAATATATACTATGCATTTGCATACTGAAATTTGTTTTAAAATGTCAAACAGGATCTGCTTCTCAATCAACTTTTACTTAAACAAAGCCAAATTGTTTTCATAGTTTATAGTAAATCACACAACAACTATCATCTAACTTTACACTTCCTATTTACACATATCACAGTTCGCTTCAACAACCTACACATACGTTGTTGCAAAAATTGAACAACCCTGTTAGCTTCGAAATTTTATTTCTCTAGGCCTAGAACAACTCACAACACACTAGCCAACCTTTTTAATAAGTGAATATATGTCTAAATGTTGGCTATACGAAACGTACTGAACAACAACCTTAATATGTCAATTCTAATCCAGGAGCTATTTCAGAATCTATCTATCACAGTCTTTTTGTAAAGACCCTACCCAAACACTTTTGTTCATTACAAGGTAATGTGAGTGGTGGAGAGATTCTGGACTCTAGCTATAAATAAATTGGAATACTGCTTGGGGATATATAATGGGACTGTTTAAAATAAATTTGCAAAAATAAATAATTCAAAAACTTAACAGTATCAACAGAAGGACTTACATAAAAACTCAAATGAAGTCACCCAACATATTAAGTACCGGTAATCTTTAAACTTCAACACCTTTACAACATAAACCTTTATCTAAAATTTTAAATATGGAATTATATGGGGGGGGGGGGGGGGGGGGGAATGACATTTTAAAACTGAATTGATTAAAATTGAATGGGACTTTATTATGTCAAGATTTTGGAATTCAAAGACAGAATAAAATTTAGAACTGAAAGCCAATTTAAACCATTTATATGTTTAGTAAAGAAATAAAAATATTATTTTTTTAAAAGCTTTACACAAAATTACGTTTTCTCCATAAAATATTTTTTCTAGAAATTAAAATGAAATAAAAAAACAAACAATTAAATTATACTAAAATCATACATAATATATCAAACATAAATATATATATAAAAAAAAATATATATATATATAAATAAATATAAAAAAATGAAAATGGTGATGAAAAGAAAGGAATTTTTAGAAAAAAAATAAAAAAAATAGTTAAGAATTAAAGATATTTGCAAAAGCTGTTCAGAACATTATCTCTGATATAAGCTCAAACATTTTTTGAGTACAAACTCAAAGAGGAAATGAAAAGCAAAGTTTTTGAAAAAGAAAAACAGCTAGCAGAAACAATAATACCATTAATATATAAAAACAATTGTGTTCCCAAGTGTCTCATAAACTAGCATATTTATTAACAACTTCTGAAATTTTGGAATGTCTCTTATAAATGAGATGTATCAATTATTTAATATACCATTTTATCCACTCAAACTAAGATGCCTGTTATCCTGCAGGGCATTAACAAACTAGTCACAGTAACTTAATGAACCCGACTCTAACCCTGGAAGGGCATTTTACACCAACCAGTCATAAAATTGTCACGTTTTTTCACTTGACATAAAATGAAGAACGTCTATTTAGAAAAACCCCAGTGACAATCTTTATGCAAAGATCTTTGTATGTACAAATCGTCCAGTAACAATGATTTTATTATTCAGCAATTTGATATTTACATTTGATTTTATAGTTTAGCAATTTGATTTTTAAATTTGATTTCATAGTTTAGCAATTTGGTTTTCATTTTTTCGGAATACCATCACATGATTTGTTTTGCAGACCATGATTTTGTTTCAAAATAAACATCTAGATTTGCCTGCACTTCTTGGAAGCTCAGGTGTTAAAACCAATTTAATTTCCTGAATTATAACTGACCTTTTCCCTACCTGAATTTAAAACCAAATTCATATTGCCCTCTTCAATATCAAATTACATGGGTTAAATAAAATAATAAATTAATAACTTTTTGCTCTATTGGCTGCCTTTACAACAATTAATAAATCTAATAACTTAATAAATTAGATATACATTAACACATTAAGAAAGTATATACACTTAAATAAAATAAATTAATATACATTTTTTTAAATACAATTCAACAGTAGCTGTGTTTAACTATAACAATATTTTATACAAAACAGCAGTTTAATTGTTAAGAATAAGCACTACATCATTCATAGAAGTTATACACAATAACAGAATTATTAGCCATTTGTATTAATATTATATTATACACAATAACAGATTTATTAGCAGTTTATATTTGATTATATAATATGTATACAAAATAATGTACGCACAAAAACCCCCAGATTTGATTGAATATGAAAGCAGTTTTTTTTACACTATGTATAATATATATATCTAATACTTTTATTACTAATACTGGTTGATATATCATCTGAACTATATTACTGTGCATTTTGGTATAACCATGGTACCTAACTCTATTATTTATTGTGAGAGGAGGGAATGCATTGAATGGGGTTTGTTTAATGTCTTCTTAACACTATACATTGACCATTTAGACACAATGGTATTTTTATATGTGCATTGCGAGGTAGGATGATTTTGCCTGTACAGCAGCGTTTGTTTGACTAAGTATTTCAACCAGATATCTGAAGTCAATTTGGATTGTCCAGGAGGAGCTGCGTAACAGTAACTAAAACTATAGGTTATAGACCATGGTTATATCTGGATCATTTCACTGTATCAGACAATAGTAAGGACATAAGAGATCTTTTGGCAGGGAGAGAGGGTTAAAATAGTGGACTATATTATAAGCAATTAGAAAATCAAACTTGGGTTCAGGTCAAGAGAAAATACAACACTTCCAAATTAATTGTTAAAGTGAAAGCTCACCTTAAAATAATCAATCAACCTCTCAAAGATATCTGTGACCTTAATTATACAGAAAAAGACACTCAGAAATTACAAATAAGAATTACAAAAATGACAATTTACAAAACAACGCAGAAAGATGAGGACTTGCTTTTCTTTCCACTTTTTGATGACATTGAACTACTGGACCTTGATGATGAATTTCCTGATTTACCACGTTTGTTATCTGGTTGATCTTTGCTCAAAACAGCTGCTTCAAATTCAGTATCATCTTCATCATTACCGTCATCTAAAAATCCAGAAAATGGTAGTTTAACATCTCAATACGAATTAGCTTGATGAGTCATATTGCACAAGATTTACTTTGAAAGTGATGTCTGGGCTATCACATTTAAAAAAGCTATCAGATATTTCCCTTTCTGCCACAAAATCTGGTAATGAAAAGTAAGTCATAGACCTACTACTAATACTACTATATTGAAGCCAAAAATGCACCGGATTCACAATATGGTACTCTAGTTAACAAACTAAATATGAAAGCCAGCAGTAGGCACTGTTGATATAGGTATGAATGAAATATATACATTTTGTATCAGCAACCTTAACAAATAATATTAACAAATAAAAATCAATAAATTCAAGGTGTTTATTCATGCCGACAGAAACAATGCATTTCTAATTTAACTAACTTGTTTAACTGAAAATGTAAACTAAAATTATTTATTATATAAACACTCACTATTGACAATAACTTACCATTATTTATACCAGCATATACCCCTTTATATTATGGATTTTATAAATTGCATTTTTATTAGTAACAAGCTGTTTATAAAACTTTATAGCTTTCTTTTGAAAATTTCAATTTTTATTAGTACCTAAGTTACTAGACAACAAAATTTATGCTCATCAGCAGCTTAGTCCTTCAAGTCATTTATAATTATAAAGGTGGATAGCCTTCTTTTGAAAATTTACAAAAAGATTCTCAAAAATTGTAAGATTAATTTAATGATGAACCAATATTAATACTTTTGGTAGGGTTAATCTTTATGAACAGCAGGTTTTTAAAAAAAAATCTTAATAACATGGACAGATATTTCATGGAACTATTGCACCCTAGTTATTTGCTCAAGAGTCGGCCTCATCAATGATGACTATCTAGTCTCAATGGTTAATGAGAAATAATCACTCCTATTGTGACTGCAAGGTTTTCAATGAATTTTAATTTTAAGGCAGTAATGGATAGCTGATTAATTTCAGTAAACTATGATCTATGTGATTACATGGAAGAAATTATGGTATGCGTCTTATGATTCTTAATCCAAGCATTATGTTGTTAGCAAAATTGATTAAAGTTAAAATCTCTGATTATTATTTGAGAGATGTTTAATCCCTTGCAAACTACAATATTGTGAAAGCTGAATCTCCAAAAGGAATATCAGTCCAAAAATGGTTCAATAAAAATTTGTCAATATTCAGCATTCAGTAGAGACTGTATATAAAGGAAATGGTGCCACCTATGATTTATCCTGAAACATTTTGTGGACTTAGTTTTTTAATAAAGATCTGATTAAAACCAAGCTGGGAGATTATATTGAGTACATTTTTGGGTGCAAAATTAGATTTTGTCCAAAAAATGCAAATGATGATTTTAACAACTTTAAATAAATTACAAGTTTTAAAATAATGCCGAGTTCACATTTAGTTGTAGTTTTTGTGCAAATTTATGATCAAATTAATGAACAATCCTTGCAAATTCTAAAATTTCTTGACAAGGATCTGGACCTGTGGGTGAATGTTCAGAAGAAATTGTGGATGGATGGCGGAGATGACAACAATATGTGGGAATTATTTTACTCTTATAAAAAAGACATGAAGATGTCAGAGAGCTTTCAGCCCATGTGTTACCGAATATGAAAGAAATCAAAATCAACCGATAAATAGGATATTTAGTATCAGATTTATAAAAGCTATAACACCACAAAGTCCTTTACCACAAAAAACTTACAACTATAAAATAATTTTTATCTGAATCTGTAACTATTCCAGCAACATGGCCATTTTGGACAAGAATTTGTTACTTCGACGACCTGAATATTAGCTAATTCTTCATCCTCATCTTTATAAAATATACAATCATGTGGGTAATTAAAAACAAGAAAAGCGCAACCCACTGGCAACATTCACACCCAGTGAAAAGATACAAAATATAAAGACTTCCCAATGGGAATTATGCCTTTTGGAAAGCTATCATATTTGTATCAGAATTTTGCATAGAAACACAAGATTAGAGAGACACACTGAAAACAGTGTTGTATAAAAACAACTCACCAGGAACCCTGTTTAACATCTTTAATCTTTTTAAATTATATAAAAGCAAATTGACAATTAACCCTTTCAGTTTCAGTGACATTTGTCGAAAGTTTTCACCTGAGAAGTTTTATCAGGTTCTACAAATCGAAAGTTCATCAACATTTGTGTTCGTCAAATGGCTTTGTTGTTCTGCAGCTTATAAAGAGGAGATGTAATTTGATGTGAGGCTTCTATATAGCTGTATTTTTACATGCTTGTCTTCCATTTTAGTGATTAAAATTTTGATTTTCCATGTCAAGAAAATATTTTAATTATTTGCAGAAGTTTTCTTTGAAAATTGACAATAAGATAGTGAAAAGTATTAATTAAAGTTTAAAACTATAATATAAATAAATTTATTTCATTTACATCAAAAATTTCTATAATAAACAGTTTATCTATTTATCTTGCTGCAGATCCTCAAAGTAGACATTTCAGAAATTGGGGGTTGACAACAAAAATGCCTGGCACTATGACTTTATAGCGTCAAAGCATACTTGGCACTGTAAGTTTTTTGTCTGAATTTTCATCTACAGGTAAAAATGAAAAATCATACCTTGATAACAAGTAACAACAACAACGATCTACCCATGTAACAAACAAACAAACAAACAAAAAGAAACAGATGGGTAAATCTTAAAACGTACCAATTATTTACCTTTCTCCTTCTCTACAAGTTTTAAACATTTCTCAGCCTGATCGTGAGTTGGCGCGTGATAAATATTTTTAATCAGCTGTGTAGATATTTTTTTCTTCGAGTGTTGATCTGCTAGTTCTAACATTCTGTTCAAAGCATCCTATAAAATATTAAAGATAAGCACTTAAAATACATTCCTTGAGTGGCATTTAGCGATTGAACACATTAAAAACACAACACAGTTTATATGGAAATACAATCACTGGTATATAAGTATAGCACAATGTTTCGACAAGTATTCTCTTATCGTGATTGTATTTCCATATAAACTGGGTTGTGTTTTTTTTCACTTAAAATACATTTGAGCCATAACCTATTGCTTTATTTATGTTCTATAGGGACTGATGGGTTTTGTGCACGTGACAGGATACATACCTTTTTTTTTTGTAGAACCACTTGTCAGGCGACATTGCCAGATTTAGATGAAGAGCATGTTCCTGTAGCAACAACCGCGAGTTTTACAACATCTAGCCATTGCTAGATTAGTCAGAAATTCACAAACTTATGGGTATGTTATCTCCCTTTACCACAGACACATGAACAGTAACATTGTCCAATCAGAGGCTGTGACACAAACACACTCAAATCAAATATGGTGGCATCCACAGAAACCTTAACATTGAACAATCTTGAAATTTGCATCTTAATTATCACAGGTAGACATTTTAGCTGGTAAGTGGGAGACTTAATTGGTATTCGCGATGACATTTTCTATCAAGGAATCTGAAAGATCCCCAGCTGGGTCAGTAGCCAATCGAAATTAGTGACAAAATATGCAGGGTATTCCGTAAAGGGTATGATAAGATGTACAGAGTTAAAGTGAGATCAAGCCTTCTATTAAAGATGGATAAAGAGAGGCCCTAGCCTATTCCTATTGTCCTAACCCCCAACCCTTAAGAATAGAGAAAGAAGAAAGTGTGTTTTAAACTCAACTAAGTTAAGAAGAGGATGGTGACATATGTTTAAGACAACAGTGAGTGTAAGAAAGGCTTATGAGTATATGACAGTGCCCAAAATATTATACACCTTGGTCATAGGCCACCAAGATCATGAGAACCTAGGCTTTAGCCAACCAAACCTATAGGCAAATCCAGCATTGGTTGGTCAACTTTTGTATTTAAAGAACTGCAATCTTTCTTCCCACAAAAATTAGAACTGAATCTCCAAAATTAATTAATGAAACTTTATGTAATGCAATCTTACGATTTTATTTTGCATCTGTTGTTGTCGTTTTTCCAACATGGCTACCTTCATCATGTATTTTACTTTATCCGAATCAAAAACCTGTAATATAGAGAAAATATTAACAACAATTAAAGAACCCCAAAACAGTGTGCACCAAATAATCAAATTTCATTGCATGCCTCATTCTCGGTATCCCCAGTGGTATTGTTCCGTTCTACTCTACTAACCTCTGGGTCCATCCACATAGTCACATTATCCGCCCTTGATACTTCTGTTAATTTTACAGACCAATTGAGTGGGCGAAAGGAAGTACCTCACATTTTATTGCAACTAAGATTATTGTGGTGAACGTAAACAATGACGCTAAGACTGGTATGTAAACTATTTTTTGATTGGGTCGTACAATCAAGCTACGATCAAGGGAAGATAATTCAAATTCGTGAAAGTCCCATGGATGGACCCAGAAGTTAGTGGAATATTACAGAGCGATACCACTGGGGATAGGGGATACCAAGAATGCCCATACCTCGTCATGGCTATAAATAAAATTCAGAATGAATTGGCATGGAATACGTTATAACAACTCATAAATATGTAATTGAAGGAGGTGAAGGAGGTGTATTTTTGTCTGAACAGCAGCATATCAACCCACTCTTCTTTATATTCCAACTTTTATTTCTATACACACTATCCTATTTTCATTGACTGTTGAAAACTGGACTTGAAAAATTCTTAAGTTTCAGCCGACACACAAGTCCTAACCCTAGATATTCTCTACTATTGAAAACCGGACATGAAAAATTCCTAAGTTTCAGCCCACACATGTGTCGTCAACCCTATATATTCTCGTCAAGAGTACTCGAACCATACCTTGGTGTTTGTATTAGCAGCAGATGTCTGACCTTTCCGTAAAGCATCAGATAAAATGGCCTGCTTCGTGTTGATACTTTTCTTAGTTTTTGGTGGTTTCTGTTTCCCCCAGATTTGAACCATTATTGCACTTTCAGATAAATACTTGAGGAGCTACAAATTAAATATGTTTTAAAAAAGTATTAAAACTAACATTATTAACTATATTATAGTTTCTTACACAAGTATACAGATACTGGTATGTGGTTCTAAATACAATGAATATATAGCTGCACAAATTTAAATTATATATGGGGTTGTAGTAATTTTTTTACAATTTCATTTTGTGACGATTGTACTTGTATTGTAGTTCTTTTATGTATTGATTTGGAGATTCAAATAAAAATCACATGACCAGGGAGAACTAAGTTTCACAATTTCTTCTTTAGATGTAAATTACCTCATCATCAGCCTTTGTAAAGTTGACAACACGTTTATGGTTCCAGTCTGGGTTGATTGTATTTTTGATTGGATTACTACAGGTATATTTATCTTCATGATAAACTAAATATTTCAAATATATATCCTGTAATGAATGAAATAGATAATTTATTAATAACAATGATTATCAACACATGGTCCTTCAAGTAAGCTGCAAAAGAGGAGAGGTACAAACACTAGTTGGTTTAATTAGTTTTTGTTCATTGGCAAAGCCCGACCATGAATGAGTGTGACATCATGGGGACCAGGCCTGTAAATAACGGTTTTAGAATGTCACACACTAATGAAATAGTACCTGACATCTTCAACTTATTGCCAGACATGTATTAATAATATCAACAAAAAAGACAAATCTGTGCTGGACTAAATGACAGGCACCAGAGGTTTAGTGCCTGACAAAGCCTGAATTTGTGTCTGACATTGTCTGTGACAGGTGCCTTACTTCCAGACTTGATGGGGACAGTGATCATCTTTGAAGTAGTTTCAAATAGAAGCCCTGTCTTCATTAGCCCATCGGTGCAGAAAAGTTTGTGAAATTATCGATTGATTGCTAAATCCTCACTCGCTAGAGAATTATTTTTATAAAAATCATTTCCTGTGACCGAACAAATATTGAAATTGATAAGAAACAAACATGATTATTTACTGCCAGATACAATCTTGTTTACACATATTAGCAATTAAGACATTTTCTAGAACCAACTGATTCTTATTAATTTGGGAGCCTCACAGTCACAGAGGGGTTTAATATAGGCTATGCCTGTTCCCCAATTCCTATTCAGATACAAATCTGAATAAAAATATTGTTCATAAATTTATTTTTTTTATATTACTTACAGTAAACTGTGAAGGTAGACCACGAGCACTGAGAATTTTAACAACAAAATTGACATCTTTTCCTTTGAGTTCATCTGGTGAATTAACAAACACATCATCATTCTCGGTATATTCCTTTCCTTTCTTATCGCATGGTATCAATTCAACCTGGTAATAAATAATTACATATCATTACAAATTGTTTATATATAGCTCAAAAGTTCAAACTTACATGTCTACTATTTAATGCAAAGTTGCTATTATTGTATTATGTAATCAAACTTATGAAGAATTGGCTAGTTTGGTAAAAAAAAAAAATGGTTCAAAATATGGCAGAAATTGCCAGTAATTTCTACTTCCTACAATCCTTGTGTTGTGTTTAGTTTCTATGGTTACATGTTCAATTTGTGGAAGTGATGAATAAGAAAGAATTCCGAATATGCTCTTCAAATGATTTGAATTATTCTACAACTATAATCTTGTAGTTATCACCCAAAATAAAATTGAATAATGTTTCTGGTTTTGTCAACACTTTACAATGGTCAGTTCTGCATCCTTGACAGATTCCATTGACACAACTTGTCACTTTAAGAATAGTTTTAAAGTAAAACTTACATTTAATAATCCAACTTCTTGTCCTTTAAAGTCTGTTATATCTAACTGTTCCTTTATTTCTATCTGTTTAAGAACACAAAATTTAAATATTAGGGTTCTGTATGAGCAAGTCAAACTATTTTTATATCTTAAAAATTTGTAGATGGAAAGGGTCTATCTAGCATTTTTGTTAAGATTGCTTCATCAAATAATGTTGCATCTATGTATAAGTATGGGTACCAGTAATTAACTTAATTTCAAATATTGTATGCTTACATGGTATGCAAGAGATTGTAGCCAAATTTTAACACTACCAATATGAAATTCAGCTTCATAATCTTCACTGAATGGATCTCGTTCCTGTTCAAAATAAAATTATAAATGATTTAAAAGTTAGGTAATAGTAATAGCTAATACATTGCAATGCCAACATATTCTAGAATTTTCTACATAAAAAGATATACATATATATATAGACAGTACTCTGAGAAATAAATCAATTCCTGCAATACAAAGCAAGAAATAGTACATGAAGGATGAATTTTGACAAATAAATGTCAACAAGAACTCAAAATTTGGTTTAAACAAAATTAAAAATTCAATCTAAAATTAATTTAGTATTCTTCGAAAATTTATTTTTATACTTGAACAGTGTCCTAATTCTCTGAATTGTTTTCCTGTTTGGGCTATACTGGTAAATTTGTGAAACTGTAAAGTTATATCAGAAGCTGGGTAAACAGAGAGTACATTAATGTTAACTACTACGATCAAGAGAACTACATATTACCCTTATTCAGAAGCTAGGTTAAATATTTAGTCTGGCAGAAATTTTTTTACAATATTAAGTAACAACATAAATGAATTGGAATTTAAAAAAAAAAAAAGCGAAGCTATGTAGAAAACTAAAATTAATCGACTAAAACTGTAATATGTTAATAACTTTGAGTTAAAATGCATCCCAAGTATTTTTACAATAAATAAAATATAACCTGAAGATTAAAATCAAAGTTCCTCATAAATGTAGATATTATTATTTTAAGATTGATGTTATGTTTCCCAGTCACAAAACTGTAATCATGATGCTTGAAGGGTTAAAGCTGAAACAGTAACCCCTGTAACCACTCTCTTTATAGCTCTTGCTCTTTTAACCTGGTTAATTAGGCAAGTCTAGTTTATTATTACAAGCAAATGAACCATCCCTATGACAATTAAGAACTCTGGTCTGTAGAATGTTCACAAGAAATTGTAGACAGATGATGGTCCAAAGAACGAAGGCGATGACAATATACATGCACATTAAATGAAGGTGTATAAAAATAGTGGTGTATAGTTAGTGTTAGTTGTATTTTACGTCCGCTTCCACCGAGGTGATATCGCAGACAAGTGGTGTATATATGCAAGGCTTCAATTGAAGGATTTTAATTAACCCTTGTATTTGGAAGATGGGAATTAATGGACTTACAATTCAGTCCCTCACAGTTCTGCTAGTATCAGTATCAGACACGTTCAGAATCAAGATATAGGCTAATCAACCATGGGATACATGTTTCAGCTAATGTGTTATATAGAATCGTATTCAGTTTGTGCATGCTTTGTTGCACGGAAGTCTGACCTTTCAATCCGACAACTAATTAATGTTATATGTAGTTATCATGCAATATTTCAAATATTTATTTTTTAAAGTCAATCGATTTGGAACAGGATCCACCCAAATAATTAGCAAACTACGTGTAATATTAACTATTTCTACAGATTAAAAAATGGCCGCTACAACTCCTCACACATACTCTACAAAAGTATTTTAAAAAGTATGCCATAGAATAATAATTATAAAATAAAATTCAACAATATTTTGATACCTCAGTTTCTTTATCCTTCAAAATCAAAATAATCAATTCTCTTCAAATATGGAAGCCATTGCTAATTAAAATGATCAAATATAATAAAAAAATTGGAAAATACGAGGAAGTGACATTTCCATGACTTTTTATAAAGTATTGTCCTTGTAAATATTGTTGTCTATGATAATATAAACCACTGAATATCTTCTTTGCTTTCTCCTTTAAATTTTCATATTTTAAATGCGAGACAAAAAAAATATTTTCATAGTCATTTCAGGATAATTGATTGTCTTACCTTGGGTAAATCCCATTCTTCTCCTTCCATGAAATTCTGGTACATTTCTTGCATCAAGAATTTACGATTCATAAATTTTTCTCGTGGCCAAATCCATTCATGTTTTGTTTCTAGATTAACGACTCGAACCATTACCTGTAAATAAACAATTTAAACATATATAACTCACAATATAAATTAAACATGCATTATGCAAGAGCAAAATCTGCTTATTACAAGTCTTTCTTTAGGCCTGAAATGTTATCTAAATTATCAATTGGACATTAATTAACTTATCCAGACCATAATCAACTCTAGATGTCAAGGCTAGCCTTCGATGTTGGCTGGATTAGATTCCTATATGCCAGCTTAACGGCCATAGATAATTAAATCAAAACAGTGGATAAACGAGACTATGCTGTTTATATTAATGATTTTAGTAATGATGACCGAGACTATGCGAAAATTTCACCCGCTTCGTTCTCGGCTCATAGTGGATCAATTTGACTGAAATTTTCAGCAAATTACCTTTACACTATCTAGTTTTTAACTATTATAGCGAGAACTGCCATCTCTTTATCTTATCTCCGATAATGTATCTTTAAGTCAAATAATGTTAAAGCTTTGATGTATTAGGCCAATTCTTCAAAAACAGAAAATATACAAAGACTTTTGTAACATAAAAATCCACTGTTTACCAAGCACATCTTAGGTTGGAGTGGCTGGCCAATAGTTCTTTTAATATAGAACCTCAAAATGGACGATGCATTATTATTGCTCAAATGTTTGAACTGGATTTATTTTATTAGGCCAAAATGCCGTGTTTAATGTCCACTCAACACAACTGGGTGTTTTGGGGACAATCCCTTTAACTATGTACTGTACTGTACTGTACTGTACAACAATTTCTCTTACTTCTGTTCGACCTTTCAACTCTCCACGGGCTTCTGCTGAAACAACCATCAATTCAAACTTCATCTTTTTATCAAGCTCTTCACTAATGGAGTTACATTCTTCCACAGCTGGCATCAATTCGACAATATCTTCCTTTAGCAGAGCTTCATCTATAATAATAGTTTTAATATAGAAGTATGACTTGTATATCCTTGACAACTATATTATATCATAGGAAATGGACCACAAATCATCCTGTGGTTTCATAATTTAAGTGCCTGATTAGACTTTAGTGAGATCCTAAAAAAGTTGCACCAGAAAGTCTCACAAGGTTGTGTATCAAAACAGGACAAAAACATTAAAACCGTATGTGTGCCTTTTAGTTTTAGTTCTTAAATATCAATTTTAAAAGCAAAATTAAAAAACTGGAATGTTGTTAGGTCGCTGCAGATTGTGATGTCCTAATAAACTGAAACATCCGCTATCTCTGAATTCTTCAGCTTCTGTGTCAAGGGCTCTTTTATGTGTGTCTGAAATAGCTTTATTTAACATCGGCTTCCACCGAAGTGATATCGCAGACAATTCCTTTATGTGCACAGTAGGTCATTAAACCCCAGATGATTTAATTTCTTTTTGTGCAAGCATTGACATTTGTCTCACCATACAACCCTAGTTATATCTAGAAACATAGCTTCAAAAATCCTGAATCCTGGACATTCTAGGTATATAATCCCTTGACTAACATGGCACCCAAGTTTCTAACTTACCTCTAGTTTTGTTTTCAGACGTCACATCAAAACCAGATTTTTTAGCGATTTCTTCCTGAGCCATTTCAAAATTAACTACTGGTGCATCTTTAGCACTTTTGTCTTTGGGATTGACGAAAACAAAATACTGAGTTGTTCCAAATATCAGTCTGTCGTTGTATTTAAGTTCTGTTTTATTTGTGACAAGTTTGCCATTTCTCATCATTCTTACATTAGCTTCAGAGGGTTCTATACTAAAAGCTCCTTTATCTTCTCGGATGATGGCATGATTCTCAACAATACTGGAAAATGAGTAAATTGATGGTTTTGAGGAACCAAATAAATAATTACGGAACAAAACATGGTCCTACTGGTCATGTGTGCAACGAAAGGAAGAATTCAACAAGATGAGTAAAATTAATAGGGGAGTAAACTAAATTCACAGAATTGCAATTGAGTGGTGAGGAAATGAGTACCATCACAGTTCTGTCAGTTCCGACGGTAGAGGTGGTGTGAGTAGAATCATGACGTAATTAAACAAAACGAATATGTATCAGCTGTCATGGTTAGTTGATATGTTTTCTTATACAGTCGATACATGCGTTGCAGCACGAAATCCCCCTTTTCACTCGATTGTTATTATTTTAGAGATTGAGAGAATTCAATTCCGGTACCTTCAATCGATTATCCCCTATGTGTCTTTTGCAAAATGTAATGCATAATATGGTATAGAGCCTTATATGATAATAATTAAGGCCACATACAAAAAAATATTCTGGTTCTCAGACAAGCGTTCTAGTTCTTTTTGGAGGGAATATTGATATTTATCTACCGGTATATAAAATGTAGCATTTAAATATTTTTATAAAGCTTTTACCTTGGTCCTTTCAGCATAATATCACATGATCCTTTACTGTTACCAATAGTTACTTCAGGTTTTTCTATAAATAGTATAATATGGCCAGACAACTGAGGGTCCATGTTTAAATTGGACAAATAAGGCATCTTTTTCTTCTTTTCTAAAATTTCAGCTAAATGTTGGCCTCCCTGAAAAATATTTAATATTAATTAAAATAGCAGCTTAAAGATCATAAATGTAGTAAAACAGAAAAAATATCAGGTTTGTTTAACAGTACGTTTTTATTTTTCACTTTTGATTTTATTGATGTTACATTTAGCCACGAACCCACATTTTTAAAATGCTCATCAATTATAGAACTGCCTAGGGGTTTTTAAGTCTGTCATTTAAATGATAAAAACTATATTCTTACGATGATCCCATTCAATTGATTTCCCAAACTAATTAATCAATATAGATCCCTACTGGTTGACCAGTCCCCATTGTTTGTGTTTGTATGCAACAGATCAGCTGAATCCAAATCGTTTCTTTATTTTCATTCTGATATCTAAGCTCCAATGCTGCACCATGAATATAATGTATAACCCTGAACTCTGAGGTAAAAAATATGAACAGTCTAATATGGAAATAAAGGCGGCCTGATTCAGATACTAAACCACAATTAGTTATTTTTCTTCGTAATACACAATAAGACGTCTTTTCATAAACTAAAGCACAATATCCCGCTTATACTTGCTCTTCAAATTTAGAAATAGGAACATTTGAGCTAACTGATCTTCAATTATCAAAAATTGAGAATGACCCCAAACATGCATATCATTTCCTAAGAAACAGTTAACTTACACCATGAGCATGTGCCTCTGCCAGTCTCTCTTCAAATGTTTTGTGCATTTCTTCCATTTCTTTAGCGTTGGTTTCCAAACGACTCTTATACTCTTCTTCCATTTCTTGTTTTAGTTTGGCTAATTCTATAAATACAGGTTAAATTATTTTTATCTTTTGTATCTATTCAGATAATGAACACACTGATGTTTGTATTTCAGTAAAATCTGAAACTTGTTAAAGATAGATCAACCATATAGCAAAGATTACCCTTTTTTTTGAGTTGCTTCCCTTGTTGTTAGTTTGTTTTTCATTTTGAGCTAAGTCTGTATCCATTCACTTGATCTGATATGCGCATTTGTTATTTGTCGTATTTGTATATTGTGTCCTGTCCGTAGGTTTGTCTTGTGTAATTGTTTGTGCAGTCCTCCTGCACTTACTATTGACTATAAAATTAAATATACATTATGCAAGAGGTAAATCTGCCTATTGCAGGTCTTTCTATAGGTCTGAAATGTTATATAAACTATTAATTCAACATTTATTTAAGTGAAAAGACCTTAATCAACTCTCGATACTATCTTATGTATCAGATTTTCACTGGATTTGAATTCGATCTGCTGGTCAACGCTCATTGATGATTAAATCCAAAAATGGATAATCAAGACTATGTTTTTATCATACCGACTTTAGTAATGATGATCGAAGCTAGGCCTAACATTCAATTGTTAATATCTAGGTTCAGAGTGGAGTAATTTGACTGAAATTTTCAGCAAATTCCCTTTACATTATCTAGTTTATAACTATTATAGTAAGAACTGTGAGCTCTTTATCAAATCTTCCATAATGTCCCTTTAAAAGTTATTCTATAACATATTATGTAAAATTGGTGGATGACAATATAGTCCTTAAAAAGCAAAGCCCTTTAACAACAATGTAAATTTTCTTCATATAGTGCACCAATCGCCAATATCCACCTGAATGTCACAATAAAAAAGAAACTGTTCATAATCCGGTCATACAATGCAAACCCATTAAACTTTCTCACCTACCTTCATCAGTGAGATCTTCATCATCATCTTTCATCACCTCCATCTTAACATTACCCCCCAACATCGCTTTTAACTTTTCATTTTCTTCCTGTAGTTCACGGATCAACTTCTCAGTTGGATCTTCATTTACAGATGCTGTTGTCTTGATCTGTTTTGCTCTGTCAGCTGAAACATCAATATCATAATTCAGCAGATGAAACTAACACAAGCACTCAAATGTCTAAATTACTTCATTTTAAGAGTAATTCATGCCTCGACATTACCCATGACATTTAGCAAAAGCTGAAGTAAACTGAGTCAGCCACAACAAAATCTTTTTCTTTTTCTGCAGTACAAATCTTTAGAAGAATCATCTGATACATACCCTGAGATACATATAATTTTGTTAGCATTCGTTACTCACCATATCTAAGAGTTGAAAGAGATTCATCGTAGTTAATATCAGCAGGACTTACAGCAGCTATCTACAAAATATAAATCACTGATCAGAAACATTGTAGGCATTTTACATTTTATTTTAATTGGTGACAAATAATTTCCTGTTTACTGCAGACAGAGTAATGAACTTAGATTCTATGTATTTTTGGGTTTTTTTTGTCAACAATTTTATTTTTTGATTCAAACTAGAGAGGTGTCAAGAGAAAAACTGAAGTACTTACCATTATAGTTTTACTATTTCCACCAAGAGCATTCTTCAATAACTTAGTTAAACATGAATCTCTATAAGGCACTGAAAGTAACACATAATTATTTTATCAATATGAATGACAGTTTAAAGATGAGTTATATCGACAGTTTAAAAATAAAGGAAACAAGAGAAATAGGGGTGGATTGGATGGTGTTTCATCAACACGATACTTTGGTCATTTGGAGACTAAAACACATTTTATTTATTTCTATGGTCACATGTGCAATGGTAGGATAGTAAATTGTGTCCAGACTGACTCCAGACTCCTTATGTGAACACCAATATGAACAAGGGTGGACTTCCACTTTCCTTCCGATCTGAAGGACTAGGCACCACTTTAGTTATGAGCTCTGTAACAATTATGACAATTGAGAAGAGGGCTTGAAAAATCATGAGGTACATCTTTCCCCCTGCTGGACCACCAAAAGAAAAGCAATAAGGTTATCATCCTGTCAGCATAATAACGGGAGACTAAAATATTGTCAGTTTTTATTTCTATTGTCACATGTCCAATGAGAGGGTCAACAATTTTGGCCAGACATCAGTGTTAGCTGCTCACTCTTTAAATTATCCAACATGCACTGACCAAAAGACTTTGTTCATTGAATCGAATAGGTACACACGCCAGTTCAGAATACAAGATAAAGTTTATGTAACATACCTCTAGTATTTTTACCATTACTTCTATCAGCTAAAGCTGAGATGACATTACCCAGACATGATAGTGACTGGTTAATAGCAGCACCCTCTTTAAGACGATCTCCAGTTGCTCCTGTACTTTCTGCTCTCTCACTATATAATTAACAAAACAAGGAATTTTAAAATACATTCACATCTGATTAAAGGGGCATTATGTCAGACTTAGACAAATATATAAAATAGATAAAGAAACATGAATATGTTGAGAATTTCAGTCAAATTACTTAATTCTGAGCGAAGTTATCATGGCTAGAAGTCTCTATTGTCATTGTTACCGTTGTTTCAATAATAAAGTCTTGATTATCCATTTTTAAATCAAATCATATAACTGCCAATCATATTTATATCAAAACCATCTGAAGTTCTTGAGAGTTGATTATAGGCTTAGCATGTAGATAAATGTCTTATTAATAATTTATAAAACATCCACCGATGACAAAAACATTGCCCCCAGGACTTTCACTTAAAATTTTAGCTGATCATTAAGCAAGTTATTTTTCAGAGAGTAGGCCCATGCCAATATGTCGCATCAGAACAACAGTTTTAAAGATCTTAAGTATTTTTACACATAAAAGCGAAAAATTTAACAGTATTTATTGTATTTTCAGGTTAAATTCTTTCAAAATGAAATGGAGTTTAACATCCTACTGTTCTGCTCCAACTGGGCTAATGAAGACATGCATATGCCATACAGTGTGCTATGCAGAAAATTTTGCCCAGACAGCGGCGCTGTGGCCTACTCATATATCAAATTACAACTGCCATGTGATCTTTTATGTGCATGCCAATGTGAACACAGGACCATGCGTTTTTGTCCCATCCGGATGACTAGAGAGCTGTCCTTATCAGGCCCATCTGTCCTGCATCACTGACAAAGGAAAACCACACTTGAAAGTCCTGATGAACTTTCTCTGCCAACACCAGGATCGAACCCGAAACCTTCAGCCTAGGGAGCCACCATCTTATTTACTTAGCCACCGTGGCTCCCAAATACTTTCCAATATCTTATTCTATAACTTGTAAATTTAAGTTCTCCAACCGGTCAATTTCACTGACTGAAATTTAAGCCCGGCTCTCATCTTAAAAGGGTTAAAAGCCATATCCTTATGAAAATTTCATCTTGAACTTTAGTTTCAAAGTAATCTATTCCAAGTACACCCATCTACACATAAACCTGACTTCTCTTACCAAAAAACTTGACAAGTGGCTACCTACCTTCCTGCTAAATCTACTAAATTAATTAAAGGTGATTTCGTTGTTTCCTCTCCAGCAGCATTTACAAATTTCTGTATAAAGGTCATTCCTACGATTGTGTGAGCTCGACTATAACAGACAAAGAATACAAAATCTGTACATTGCTGAAGACAGGGGTGTAGTGCTGGGGGAACATCCAAACAACATTGCCTTACATTTATTATTTAGGAGGAGGAACAGCATTGACTCACTATTTTTAGTAAATCCAAACTTGCAATCCTCTGCCTTAGTGGAATTTCTAATTTCCATCTATACAAGAAATATGAGAAAGACAGTTTTACTGAACATCCTCGCATTATATGTGCAGGAAGACTGGGGGAGATAATGGGTGGGGGGGGCTCAAAGTAGCCATTTAAAAATGCATTCCCATAGCATATACATACAGTGCGATCAGGACCCTAGAATTTAAAGAAGACACATGTCAAAAGTGTATTCTTCAATGTTTTTATTATTTCCTATCTGACATCTGAAGTATTGTTAAATATAGATATTAAAGAGATATGTAACCTGCTGGTAGCGTTCATGTTTGTAGCAGCTACTGTACGATTTCTTGTTCCTTCCTCCATCTTATCTTCTATCTCTTTATAACTACTAACTGGTGTTATCTGTAAACCATCAGCTGTAATCAAATAAAAGATGAAAGTGTGACCGAGTGCGGTGGTCATGGGGAAGGTAGGCTATGTGACATGTTTTATTACATTTGAAAACTTTCTATGAAGGAATAAACAATTTTGCTTTACTCACCATAAAATCCTTTCTTAGGATGTTGTCTAACCTTTAACCCGCCACGTTTTGGTGGTTTAGAGTCAAGTAAGTCTCGAACCTGTTCATTATAAATTTCCAACATGCTGAACATAACCTACAATACAAGCAAAACAAACTAAAGACATCAAACAAAATATTTATATTTCAGTAGGTACACTTGTAATTTGGAAAATAACATAAATGTATGATTATTTAATTGCAGTAACATTTACAATGTGAAAACCTGCTTTCAATAATGCAGCAGGAATGTAAACATGTGGTGTGCTGTTTGACTGTTTGTATATGGGGACACCTAGATTGTTTTGTGCTATGTTCTCGTGAGTTAAATATACTTGCTAAGGTTGTGGGGAATTCCCTCCCATTGCGTCACTGTGTGGAGGTGTATGTGTTCCATGCCTGGGGTCGTTGGTTTGATTCCCAAAAAGGAACAGTCTGTCACAAGGAGAAGAACATAACTTCTTGTTAGAATTTGGAATGATTTTAAAATTGGATATTAGCATCTTAATTTCGACAGTAGAGCCATTTTAGAAAAAAACCCACAAAAACTGTGAACAAAATGATGTACTATTTAGAATTGTTACTAACGGAACAAATGCAGCAAATTTGAAAAAAATAATCTAAAAAAAAAATTTAGGTGACAGATTGTAGCGAAGATATGTCTTTGGAATAAATCGCAAGCAAACTCACTTCAAATTCTGTTTTTTCTCCAGCTGTTTTCTTCTCATCAATACCTTTAAAAACTTGCTCACAAAACATTGGAACAACACCTGAAATAAAGAACATTAAAATGAATATGACAGTTGAAAAAATATTGTTATTATTTTCAGTTAAATATGTACTGGTAAGTAGGTTTGGAATACTTAAAGATAATATGATGAGTGGTTTTTTTTTTTACCTTTATTAACACCATATCCAACAATCGACCAACTTTTTCCACTTCCTGTTTGTCCGTATGCGAACAATGTTGTGTTATATCCTTCCCATGCATTCTTTAAAACTCCAACACCTATATCTTCAAATACTCTTTTCTGGAAATGAAGCAGATTAAAATTACAAATGAGGTTGATCTGTTGTGTTTGAGTTGATTTGTGAGTTATTTTTTGAGTTGATCAGATGTGTTCTAAATTGGAACAAACTAGTGTGGTACAAACTGGGTTGATTTATTGTTAATACGGTTATATTTTGGATTATAAATGGGATTAATCCAGTGTGTTATGAATTGGATTAATGCTTGTGTTATAAATTGGGATGATCTGATGTGCCATAAATTGGATTGATCCTGTGTGTTACAAATTAGGATGATCTGGCATGATATTAATTGGTTTAATCCAGTGTGTTATAAAATTAAATTGAATTGACCTGGGGTTGAACATTCTACTTTTTTGCACCATCTGGTCAGCAAAATTATTTGTCATGCAGTGTGCTCTGAAGAAAATTTTGCCTGGACACTCTGCCTGGTTACTCTTCATTGAACTCAAGTTTTCACTACATCCTACTTAGCGACTATATAGACGCTTTTTCGTTGCAATGCCACTGAGTGTCACTGAGTCAAGTGGCGTTGTTTTGATTCCCTGCATGTACATGACAAAATGTCCTAGTTTGCGTTAAGTCGACTTAAGTTAAACCCCATTTCTCTCTCTCTCCCTTGCAATGCCCTCCTTTCATGCACCACTGGGGGGGTGGATGGCTGAATGGTTAGCATGTGCGTGCTGTATCATAAAGTCTGTCATTGAGTCAACTGGCATGGTTTCGAATCCCCGGCTGTACGTGACAAGGAGTAGGGTCGCCTGTCCAACTTTGTGGGTTTTCTCCAGGTCCACCGGTTTCCTCCCACTACTAAAGACCCTACGTGCAAGAGATTTATTGAAATAAAATTGAACCATATTAGTCCCGAAATGACCTAAGTTGTGTCGAGTGGACCTTAAACCCCATTTCTCTCTCTCTCTTCATGCACCACTGACAAGGGAAACCATGCTGGAAACACTGGCATTTCATGGTTAGTGAGCCAGCACCATACTCACTGAACCACTGTGGCTCAAGGTTGACCTGGTGTTCTAAATCGATCTGTAATTGGTTAAAAATTCATATACTTTTTAAGTTTATTTATTACCTGATCACAGAATTTTTTGCCATTTGGATGAGATGGGTCTGGTCCGTAATATCCGTCCGCCTGTTCCTTACTACCATCATGTGACCAGTAACTGTAGTCAAATGCAAACTTTTTCTCGTCATTGTCTGATGGGTCGGTGATAATGGTGGTAGGACCATTCATGTCGATGATACATTTTGCATTCCTTTCTCTTTCTCGTCTATTGTACGGAGAATTAAGGAAGAACATTTCAAAACACATTTAACAGATTGCAATTTATTATAAATTAAGCTAAACCAAATACAAATATGATCATTTATAAATAATAAATCTATCAGCATTTTTCATAATTTGAAAATTACTTTTAGTGTCAGTATGATATTGATAATATTTATTCTCCTACTATATGATTAACCTCTATTTATCGCCAGTATTTTGTAGATATTACTGACTTGTTGAGGATAAAAAAATACTTAAACATACATTATGCAAGAGCTAAATCTGCCTATTGCAAGTCTTTCTTTGAGCCTAACTCAAGATTTTAACTTGATTGGAACGGTTCGCCATTTAAAAACTTTATTTAAAAAGTCTTGAGTAAACCAGTGCCCTGGTTACCACTATGCACACATCTTGTCAAAACTACAACCGACGATAACTTGGCTCAGAATGAAGTAATTTGAATGAAATTTTCAATAGTTTCATTTTACATTATCTATTTTTGAGCTATTATTTGAGCTATTTTGAATGGTCAGCTTTTTATCTAAATCTTACATAATGTATCTTTAATTTGAAAGGCAATTGACATAGTTGGAATGAGTCTTGAATTAGTTGGGGTTTTTTGTACACATAAGTTTTTAAAGCATAATAAACTAATGTTACACTCACAGATATTATAATGTCACCGCTTCACATTTGTTTATTTCAACAACAAGAGGAACTAATTTCTATATTTCTACAATGATGTTTCCGAATTCATTAATAATACTGTGTATTACAATAAGAATTTCCACATGAGCTGTAATTCATGCATGTAGGTAGGCATTATAAATGCTGGTCAAATTAATTAACTAACGATCATAATGGCAACTGGCAAGATAGCTCAGGTCTAATTACATAGATTCTATAGATCTACAATATATTATGATGAAATAACAGATCAATATAACCCACCTATTCACTAAATAAATAACTACCGTTATAGACTATCTTATATTGAACAGTGTTTGTACTCGGTGTAACATGGCAGAGTTTTTTTTAATAAAATATAATCAAATTAGTGACCCTGGAGTTCTTGATAAATAAATGTTTCATTTTACAAGTAGGGTGATGAGGTTAAATATATTATTTATTTTCTTCAAATTGTTATTGTGCAACTTATTGGCCTTAAGTTTTGTAAAGTTTTAGTTTAAGTAGTTCTAGAGATTTTATTGGTAATTCAATTCATATTAAACTGTAATCAATCATAGAAGGCTTACTATTTGGTTGCGGGCGCTGCCCTTAAAAGTCTGGCTTATTTATCAAACACTACCCTACTCAAGTAAGCCTTGTTTGCTATAAACAATTTATTGTATTTAATGTAATCATATTCTTTAGACAATAATGATATTATATAGAGCATAATATTATGTAATAAGAGTATTAATTACAATATCTTATTACATCTTACAGTGTTAAGTTCCATTAACTGTGATATATCATAATTATGCAAAACTACTAAAAAAATAACAAATTTATTTAATTAGTGCACAATTTTGGTATATGGTGAAATTATTCCCCAAAAGATCTTCCTTAATTCTTTGCCTGGACTAGAAGTAGAAGTAGAACGTTTGCTGGAAATTTTCAAAGCAATGTTAAATTGGAAAATAAAATAATTGAGGTTTTTCTATAGCAAGAAATGTTAAATTTAAGGAACAAGAAAATACATGTATTGAGTTTCATGGTTTCATAAACTGTTAAGATTCAACTGAAATCTGTTCATCATGGGAATACCCAATCAAGTTTTAAAACAAAAATTCATTCATTACATTTAATATATTATTTAATAGGCATATTTGAATAGTTGAAGATCATTTTTTATTTACTAATATTTGGCCAATTTAGGCCTAATAATGCTGAATTCTAATAAATAATTATGACTGCCATTCTATTCACACCACGTAAAAAAGGAGAACTAATTCAATTGTATACTTACATAACGTTGCTTTGGGAAAAGAATACGCCCCGCCCCACCCTCACATTTTAGGTGAGGCGGGGAATTAGGCCAATTACTAGATCTATGTAATTTCACCAACTTCTCAAATCCTTTTTATTAAGCGGGAATTCTAATTCATAAAACAATCGTGTACATGCTTGCTTGGAAAGCTACAATGATCCTCATACAGAATAAATAAATCCAATACTCCACGTCGTATAAAATACTTGAATAGCTCTATAAACAATAATACAATAAAACCTTATCAAATCGTCCTAAATAACCCCGGCAGAGAGAGCTTAACGACAACTTAGTCAGTGCCCGTACCGCCGTAGCAGACGAACTTTCACTGAAATGATAACTGATTTTAAAAGGATATGAATGGTCTCACTCGCACAGCTACTTTAACATTTTCTTCTGTCATTTTGGATCTTTAAGATTTGATCTGTAACTGTGATGTTGAAAAACGCCGATCGAACGGGCTACTGCAGTAGATATGAATTAAAAGTGATTAGTTGATCGCCATGTTCATGATTTGTTTACGTCGAGTGCGTGGGTTGCTAGGGTTGCACGCGCCAGTGCATGACGTTATCGTCATTTATAACGGTGCTTATGAAAAGAATAACATGAAGATATCAGGTAGCTGAAAACGTATAGGCCTAAAAAGACTATTTTACGCAATGGATGTGTCGCTTTCCAAAAGAATGTTTTAGTAACCTAGATTTCTTCGATAGAAAATATTTCGAAATCATGTAGCTAGGCTATTTTATAAATACCAAAATATTTTGCGATAACATTGTCCGATTACTCACTGCTTAGTTAAAACTGGCAGCAGGAGTGCAGGACACTAATAGTAATAAATTGTTTATAATAATTTTATTGAACTTGTATAACGGCAAAATTCAGCTTAAAATATAGCCTATGTTAAGGGCCAATAATTTGATAAAATCTCGGATGACTTTTATTTTGGTACGCATCGGGTCGACGTTATGCCCCTTTTCCCCGAAAAAAAAACAACTTATGAACGCGATAGAGGCTATAGTTTTTAGTCCAAAATTTTGTTCCGCGACCTTAATTTGTTCCAGAGTTAGACACCTTTAGCCCACTGATTTTTAAAAGATCTTTTTCAAATTTGGTGAACTGCATTTGGGTTCACGAGAGGGCAAACCGTGTTGATTTTTTTGATATTCAGCCTTCCACGACCTCCCGTTCCGGAGTTACGCCCTCTTCCCTAAAACCTTCTGAAAGTGATAGAGGCTACAGTTTTTAACGAGTATTTTCCAAATTCGATGTAAAGTATTGGGGTCAAGAGCAAACGGAGTCAAGAAAAAGTCGAAGCCTATCGATATTCAACGCTCCGTGACCTTCAATTCCTTAGTTACCCCCTTTCCCTTTAGTGAACGTGACAAAGGCTACCAGTCCCCGACAGAAAGTAAATCAGCGATAATGGTAAGTTGAACCCTATCTATGTTCCCCGCCTATCTCTTGTAAATATACATGTAACTGATGCGGAATCCGCATGCACAAAGTACTGAACCAATGTTCTAACTATTAACTTATGCATGACATTCGGGAATTGTTGATTCATATTTTTATTTTATTTAACACTCTTTTCAACAAACCCAACAGTTTATCTATTACAAGTCTAAACTTTTGGACTAGTTTTATAATTTTCGGACGCCGCGGTGGCTCAGTAAGGCGGTGGTTCGCTGAGAAAGTGGCTCGAATCTGGCGTAGTTTCCTAAGCATCTAGTCGTTCGAATGGGACCAAAAACCGTTGTCCCGCGTTCACGTCCATGCAAAATATACCACACGCACAATGCATTGCATACGCCCATCTTCATTTCGATTTTTTTAGGCTATACTTATGCTTTCACAACGCCTTACGATTCCAGTGTTGGCCGAGAAAGTTTCTCGGAATTTTCAGTCTGGTTCCCCCTCGCAAGTTGGCCTTGTAAAGAATGGATGTACTCCGCATGGTACCGAAAACCGCCCACCAGTGCACTCATTATGGCTTAGGCCTACAGAAGAACCATTGACAGTCTTCATTACGCCGGCTCGGTGTATAAAAAGGACGCTCAACCCCATTTTATTTCATTTCATTTCATGTAGAGATCAATTCAAGTCAAGTTATAACAGTGAAAAAGGCGTCTAGCAGTCGTTCGGATGGAATGAAAAAACCGAAACCCATCCGTGCACTCGTTGACATAAAAGAACCCTATATATTTCAATTCCCATCATTAGGAATTAAGCTTACTATTTTACTTGTGAAAGTGTCATGGTATTTTATTTTATAACGAAATGAAGTATCGACTGACATCACGACACCGGTAGCTATACTGTAGATCAATTTATCGGGTGATATTTGTTATGACTACATCGCTAATGTCGACAGCGGCTGGTAAACTGGCTTAACGGGTAAAATCAACACCAATTCAATAGATTATATAAGTACAATATTACCAGCTTTGCATTTCTAGACGAGTACAGGAATAACTCATTAATTCTGTCGTCGACATTTACTCTTCAAATGCAGCTTTCGAATTATGATAGTATTGATATTAAGTGTCCACGTACTAAAGTGTATCTGCCAGTGCTGGTAACAATACAATAGGCCCATATACTGTTTCCAATGATGGTGTCCAATGGTTTGAAATAGATTTTATAAATTTAAATAAAAACGAGCGATATGAGGTTGAATTATTTAGAATTTTAATAGTAGGTCTAGTATTCCTTGTCATGTACATTGATTATAAAATACCGTTTTATAAACCTGATAAAGGCTGTTTAAACATCATGAATTATTCTTTTCAGGGACGTTTGGGTGTGCCTAATTTTCTTTCTTTTTTTTTGGTGGTAATTATAAATATTATTTAGAATACCATATGCCACATAAGAAATATTTGTAGCTGATGTCGATTAAAGGGAATTGAAGCTTATTATTGACCCTACCTCCTGCTGCCTTGTGACTGAATTCTGACCTCTTTTAACCCTAACTAAAATGTCCCACTGTCCAAAAATTGTGAAACACAAACCCTTTTTATGTACAATGAACAAACCCTGTGAATTTAAAAAAAATGCTGATAAGTAGCGTGGTCACAAGAAAGTGACAGACTTATGTACCTTACAATAAAATTTTTTTTCAAATAAACACTATAATTGATTAATTCCTTATTTATTTCTGGTATCCTACATTTGATTGTAAAACAAATGTGATTATGTACTTCAATCAGTTAACAATAAATTCTAAATATATAATACATCAAATCTTATAAAGTCATTACTTTAAATAAATAGCCATGATCATAATCAATTTTACATTAATTACTGCATCACAGAGTAAATTTTGCCATCTCTAGAGGTTTCTTTATAATTCTTTTGGCACCCTTAATTTTATTATGTATGATCATGAAAAAAATGGGATGTATGCAAAATGTAGAAATATATCGAAATTTTGTTATCAACAAACAATTGAAAAATAAATTTTGACAGCACCTGGTTCATCCATATTATTAATATAACCAACTAAATATAACAAATTTTCAAAAGTATGTGCATATATCAATGGATCAACAAATAATTTTCTTTATTAACTGATATAATTTCAAGGATTTCATCAAAAATCGTAGTAAATTCTTCTATTTTTTTATGATGATATTTTATTCATACTATTCATTTTGATTATCTACCAGTGTATCATATCACAATATGTTGCTAAAGTTTTTTTGTTCTCTTAAAAGAGTTAAAACTTCAGGGACGAAAATACTTCTGGGTACAGTTGAAAAAATCCCTGAAATAATAGAAAGAAGGGTATTACAATTAAATAATCATTAACCATTGATGCTCTAGAATATCTTTTAATCACATGCATAAATAAAACTTTACTCTTTCAAAATACAATATTTTAAATCATAATAATGTTCAATTCTATCCACTTAAAACTGAGAAATGATGGTTTGAAAACCTTGATTTTCAGTTAATAATGTTATTGTGATATTATTATATTATCAGTCCACTCTTACTGGTACTTACACTACATGTTAAATATAAATACAAGCCCTTCACCGAGTTTCATCAATCTGGTTAAAACACACATCCTATTTCGTTTCGTTTTTATAGTTCAAAATTTCGTTTTACTTGTCTCTACTTAACTTGGATCTGGAAGAGTTGTTATTTAACTCGTGTTCTGAATGGTGTCAGGGATAAACCAATGAAACGGTCTGTTACGGCGAGCTTTAGGCGTGTTTTTCACGGAATTGTGGGTAATCCACTAGTAACATCAATGCTGATTGGTTAATCAAATGTCTGACGTCATAGGGTCATAAGTCGGTCTTTTGACCCCTGACGTGACCTATTGCTATAATTTGTCAGATCTTTATGTAGTGTAGGTCATTGAAAGTATAAAAAAACGAAACGAAATATAGATCTGTATTTTAATCAGATTGCAAGTTTCATCAACTTTAGACGAATAGCCTGTAGAGTCAATTTTGAATGTTTTGCAAAAGTCTTTAAACAGAAGTTAACAAAGGGACATAATGTATTTAAAAATAGACAAACCCAAGAACACTGGCTTGGACTGTTGCTCGGCAAGATGCAGCAGTGTCAACCTTCAATCAAAAACCTCAAAGTCTAACCTAAAATAATTTCGGAATACAGAATTATACCTTGTATAAATTAATAGCCTGGGATACTGATGAAGTACAACCCATCTCTCTGATAGAATGCATACTAAGTTGTGGGGCTCCAATATCTAAGGTGGGTATCCCAAGTTTAGCTGACATGATTGGACCAATAGTAGAACCACAAGGAGAATCATTTCGCACTACAAAATCCTGAAATATAAATCAAGTGCAGGTCACAAACACAATATATACCAAGCAGAAGTCATTTTGCAGATAAAAAAAATTAATGGTTTTCTGAAAGCTGGTCAATGAATTAAAATTCCCTTTTCTCCAAACGATTTTAAATGAAAGGGGAAAATACCCTGTTGATAATCATCAGAAAAACTTGAACATGCATTATGCATGAGCTAAATCTGCCTATTGTAGGTTTTTCTTTAGACCTGAAATGTTATCTAAATTATTAATTTGACATTAGTTAACTGATTAATGCCATGATCAACTCTCGATGCCATCGTTAGCCTGAGATCTTTAGTGGATTTCAATACATTTTGTAATGGATAATTCAACGTGAAAATGGATCATTAATATCTCAGTTCAGAATGAAGCAGTTTGGCTGTAATTTTCAGCAAATTTTGTTTTCATTATCTATTTTTGAACTATTACAGCGAGAACTGTCAGCTCTTTATCTAATTTTACCTAATGTCCCTTTAAATCTTAATTTATAATACATAGCCATTTTTCATTTATTAAAGTGTAGTTATCATGATAATAATGCAAAAAGTTTATCTGATTATCTGTAATAGTAATATTTAGCTAGGATTGTGGGGGGGGGGGGGGGTGGATGGCTGAATGGTTAGCACTTGCGCGCTGTATCATAAAGTCTGTCATTGAGTCAACTGGCGTGGTTTTGATTCCCCGGTTGTAGGTGACAAGGAGTAGGGTCACCTGTCCAACCTCGTGGGTTTTCTCCGGGTCCTCCGGTTTCCTCCTACTGCTAAAGACCCCTACGCGCAAGTGAATTATGGAAATAAAATTGAACCATGTTAGTCCAGAAATGACCTAGTTTGTGTCGAATGGATGTTAAACCCCATTTCTCTCTCTCTCTCTAGCTAGGGTTGGTGATTTTTTGCAATGTATATATCAGCTGACCACACCCCCAAGCTGTGACATAAATGTATACATAAGCATATTGACTTATTATCCTTGGATACCAATTAACAGTATTTGGCAACACACCTGATGAAAAAGGATAATTCCGTTTATTAGCGAAACCTGTGAAATATATTTCCTATGAAAATTGTCTGATTTAAACATGAGTGACAGTTGTGAGTTGTGATATACATCGCTAAATTTGTCTTGTTCTTTCGTATCTATAGGGTGCAACCTCAGACAAAAGAATGTAGGTTAAAGAATAAAACAATATATAAAACAACATTCGGTCTTTATTCATACTTTGAGATTAATATGGAAGATACAGTTGTTTACTGTCAAGTGTAAGGCTGGGAATCGATATGAAATTTCAATATCGATTATCGGCAAGAATTTGTCAGCGATTATCGATAATAATCGATTATCAATCATTCTTCCGGAAAAACCGAACTTTACCGACCTGTTATTTGTGTTGATCGAGTTACAGTAGTGTTATTATCCTAGTCTAATACTGTACGTAAAAAAATCAATTAATGTAAAATAATTAGTTGCTAAATGTAGGATTATCTTGAGTATTATTCTAAGTTTTGTTCTTGATTCATTTGAACCTTTTTTTTATTCCAATATCTCAGATAAATACAAAGACAATACATGGTTTCTCTTTGCAAGTTACTAGCGATCACACAGTGTTACTAATAATAGAATAAAATATAATAGAAGGCGTCTATTGATTGGACAATAAAAAAATAATTACCGGCTTTCAAAGTAGAATTTTTATGATTGGTTAATTTTGACGAAAACCAAAGTAGAATTCTTCCAAGAAATTACGAGAGATATAGATATTTTCATGGGAAGTCAAAAACGTGTTTTGTATGGGCTGTATCTGACATGATTTAGTAATAAAAGCTGAGTTGATCATTAATAATACAATTAGTTTTATCGTGAAAGCAGACAATTTCTCTACAAATCAATCAAGAGCAAAGAAGGGAGATAATTCTAATTTTACTATATCACGTGCGATCGTCATTGTTCACAAAGTGCGTGACCTATTTTAGTTTCAACTAGTAATAACAACAAAAACAACGAAAATATTAAAATAATGTATTTAATCTTAAAGTTTAGTGTTTTTACAATAATATATATTTAAAATGTGCCAGTTTGAAAGCAGAGGGGGAAAATAGTTGTTGTGTTGACGTTGTGTATTCGTTCATTCGTCTGCATGCCAGACTACGGCAAGTTCAGTCATGTGAAAGTGGCCGTAACTTGCCGTCAGAAGGTAAATATACCGATAATCGATATTTGAATTTCAATATCGATTATCGTATCGCTAAATAACTTCTACCGATTATCGATTATATCGATATTTTTGCACAGCCTTAGTCAAGTGCAGTAAAAAAATATTTGACATCCTTAACCCAGAGGGTAAATCAGTGTTAGCAATAGTTCCAATAAACACTAATTGATAATATCAGTCCTACCTGTAAAGGCACATTAACTCTCTTAGCAATTTCACGCAATATAGTTGAGGTTATTGCTGTTGATGCATAACACTGATTTGCATTAAATTTGATCACAATACCCTACAAACAGAAAATATTAAATATAGTTAGGGATAAAAAATTCATGTATGAGGGTGTGGTTTTCTGCTAAATTTATTACAGATAACTTTATACAAGCAACCTCAAAATCTAATAAAGTTCCAACAATGTGTAAGTGTAAATTAAACAGTCTTGAAATTACATGTAGATGTTGCAGTGGGTGTACCGAAATAATGGCACTGTAAAGAGGGCACTGATGAAATGGAGTAAGTTTAGGACCTGGAATGCAAAGGCACAAATTAAAAGGGTATTACGTGTGTCATTATTATTTAAACTTGTTGCCGTAATCATGTCTTTTTTAGCGGTTTCTTAACATGGAATTTAGCACAGGAAGTTTAATTCAATTTGTAATACATGTATATGCATGATGACTGCACAGAAGAGATAGAACAAAGAAATACAGTAAACATGGCATAAGTCGGATCTTTGCTCAACTCGGATAAAATCGTTTCGACCCTTTGATCCTGCAGGTTTTTTTTTATTAAATTTCTGGGCGTAAGTCGGATTTCCTAAGAGAGATCTTTGCTCAACTCAAATCAAAATGTTCGGTCCATTTGATCTAATTCCGGCTTTTTTTCCTTCTCCTAAGTCGGATTGGCAGTATGTTCAGAATTTGACTAAGTCAGTTTCGTCTCGATGGTCTGAAACATAGTTAGCTATTCCATGCACAGAGCCCCAAAATAGTTTCCCCTATCATTTTGACTCAAATCAGCCTATTTACTATTTGACACGACAAAATAATAGAATTTTCCCGAAAAATTTGAAACTCGCTGTTTGCTGTATGAGATACTTTCCGGGAAAATTTAGGACATTTTTCAAAGATGGTGACAAAACGGAAGTTATCTACTCGTACCAAAACGGAAGTTATCAACTCGCACCTATGAACAAAAGCTTGAAATGTTAGCTTGAAAAGCTAAGATTGAATTTTGGTCTTCGACTTTCTCGGATCTTTGCTTAACTCGGATAATAATAATAATATTGATCAGTCCACTTAGATCCGACTTATGCAAAGTTTACTGTATAAACTTTAAATGGCTGTAGTTTACCTTATGAAAACCTGGTTGATGATTTGATTCATGCTTTTCACTAAAAAAAGATTAGAAGATTAAAACAAGATTTAAATTGTACACTATTAAGTAAAATACATATCTTACTGATGTTGTAATAATAAATCATAGTCAGTTTATGTATTTAATTGATCTATTACAATAGAAAAGCTCAACCAGATGTTGTTTATAATATATATACATTAACATCTCAAATATTTGTATTAAGTTAGCGTTCAGATCATGTAAACTAATTGAGCAATCAAATAGAACTGCAAATTTATTGGATTATTAGAAATCTTATATGGGAATGATTCTGAGTGGTTATTGGGTTTTATCACCCAATAATACATTCTACAGTAGATATCGCTTGTGTGATATATTTCATAATCTACCGCTTTACATGAATTTGATTGGTCAGTTGAAAAGGAACTACTTTTTCAAAGAACAGTTCATTTCTTATTAAAAGTAACTTTTTTTTTTTATTAAAAATGAACTATTGTTATTCAATTGACCTTGATGGAAACACTGGGTCAATATAAAGGACTTTGCAAAGGTTTAATTGCTGTCAAAAAATGGTGTATCACTACGCCGTAATGTTCAGTAAAAGTGAAATCTACAGCAAAGAATTATATTTATCTATTTGTGCATGTAAGAAGGGATTGGGTGATAAATAAAATCTCCTACTCGTCTTTTTTGATATCAAAAAATATCAACACTTGTTACTTTATCAACTTGTGTTGATATTTATTGATATCAAAAAAGACTGGTAGGAGATTCTCTATACATAACCATTTGCAACAAGATTATCTGATATAAATAGAACACTTCCTGGTACAACACTGGGATGATAGAAAGTGGGTCCGATTACAATGTAGTGCAAAAATCAGAATAAACAAGATGACTCGCTCATCAACATCTCGCACACATGCCCAAAATCTAACTTACGAGTAGTTAGGATGTATAGCATGAGCCTGGTCAGCAGATAACATATAAGATTTAGGGATGGATTCTTCAAAAGCTGTAGGGTTTTTAGATTCAGCACTGATCCTTCTTAATACAAGTTCTTGAAGGGTTGATGCTGCTCCTTGAGCGCTCTCTGATCCAGCCTTAAACACAAAATCAAAATTAACAAGCCAACTGTGAGGCTGATGTCCCCTGCCAAAACCCCAAAATAAATAGATGACACATATTAATAATTAATTAATCGCACATTTTTTTTTTTCAAAAGTATCAAGCAATCAAACTGATAATCAACTATACACTAAGTTTCAACATCACTTTCTATCAGATAGAATCAAATTTATCTTGTCCCAAAGCATCAACCAATCAGATTGCTTATCGCTGCTTACCGTAAGCAGACAATGTTTATCTTCGAACTTCATCAAGGCATTCGCCTAATGAATGCCTACACCAAGTTTGAACATTCTAGCTCATTTTGAAGGAGAGTTATCGTGTTCCAAAGTCTCGGCCAATCAAATTGCTTATCGCTCTGCTTACGCTGAGCAGAAAACGCTCATTATCGAACTTAGTCAAGGTATTGATGTAATGAAACTATACACCAAGTTTCATCATTCTCACTTAATTGGAACTAAGGTTAACGTGTCCCAAAGCATCAACCAATCAAATTGCAGAAAATGATCATCTTTGAACTCCATCACAGCATTGCCCTAATAAACACCTACATGTTTGAACATTCTATCTAAATTAGAAGGAGAGTTATTGTGTCCCAAAAAGTGTGACGGACAGATGGATGGACGGACAGACAGACAAACCCATTTTAATAGTCCCATGCTTTCTTCGAAAGATGGGAGACAAAAAAGAGGATCTTTTACATGCAGTACAGATCGGTCAGTTTTAGTGGTTATAATATGTGGAATTTTGTTTACCTCTTCATTATCAAACAGACAGATGAGTCGAACATTAGTATCACCTTGAAGTGATTGATCTTCACAGGATTCAATAAGTCCCTGAAATGAAATTTCCATACAATCAACTATTCCATAGATTTTCTGGACAAGTAGTTCTAAAATGCAATTGAAAATGGACAGAAATGAACTTTATGGTGCGAAAATTAGCCTTGATCAGTTCAACTCACCTCAGCAGCAGTGTAAGCATTAAGTAGGTTATCTAATCTGGGTGCAAAGATAAATTCTTCAAATATACCTCCAATAGCCTATAAATATATAAATAAAAATATACAACAATATTAAACCACCTCATCTATTCTTTTGTAGGTAATGGGTGCATATATAATATCATACAGATCGAATTATAACATTAGAGCATTCACAAGGTTCAACAAAGTGAAACAAGGGCCATAAATCTAGAAGTAATATACGGAAATAGCTGAAATTAAATAGGATTCTTCATTTCACTAATCTAAAAGATGCATATCAATTTCATGCAGATTCGATGATCATTTTAGTCTTTAGAGTGTTCACAAGGTTCAATAAAGTTAAGCAAGGGTGAATAGACTTCTTCATCTCCCTAATGTAAACAACATACATAAATTTTAAAATTATTAGCTAATAAATGTCTGTAGAGTGTCCACGACCATATTACAATACTTGTAGTTTTATATTAATTATACTTATTGTAGGTTGTGTATCAGATTTAGAGGTATATCATATGGTCTGTATTAATTAAACTTACTGCAGGTTGTGTATCAGATTTAGTGGTATATTATATAGTTTATATTAATAATACTTACCACAGTTTGTGTATCAGATCTAGTGTTATATTATATAGTTTATATTAATTATACTTACTGCAGGTTGCGTATCAGATCTAGTGGTATATTATATAGTTTATATTAATAATACTTACTGCAGTTTGTGTATCAGATCTAGTGTTATATTATATAGTTTATATTAATTATACTTACTGCAGGTTGCGTATCAGATCTAGTGGTATATTATATAGTTTATATTAATAATACTTAATGAAGGTTGCGTATTAAATATAGTGGTATATTATATAGTTTATATTAATTATACGTACTGCAGGTTGAGTATCAGCCAAACACAATTCAAAATCCAACATCTGCTCTTTCTCTATTCCTAGTTCAGTACACAATAAACTGACTAAACTAGGTACATGTTTCTCAAACTGTTATAAGAAAATTAAATGCTTTTAAAATACAGATTTTAATACAGTACCATTATTTCAAATAATCGTACGGGCAACTTGCCAATTGTACATTATTTACGACAGGCGACCCTACTCCTTGTCACGTACAACCAGGGAATCAAAACCTTGCCAGTTGACTCAATGACAGACCTTATGATACAGTGCGTACGGGCTAACCATTCGCCCCCCCCCCCCCCTTCCCGTGAAACAAGGGACATAACTCTAGAAGTAATTAACAGAAATTGCTGAAATATGATAAGCTTTTCTGTTTTACTAATTCATATTATGTACATAGATTTTATACGACCTTTGTTATTTGATGATTCACAAGGTTGTACAAAGTGAAACAAGGGCCATTACTCAAGACAAAATTAACAGAAATTAAATAGGTTTCTTCATCTCAATAATGTAAACAACATCTTTAAATTTAAAAACTATCAGGTAATAAATGCAGTCTCTAGAGTGTTCACAAGAAATTGTGGACGGTGGATGTACAGACAGGGGCGACAACAATATGACCACATTTCCTTGTGGGTGTGTAAAACCAGTTAATTAAACCTAACCTGAAGTGCACCAGGAGGTGCTTCCTTTGGACAGGGAAACCCTTGCAATTCTGTCTGTAAACATGTAGCTAATATAGGACATCTAAAAGAAACAATAATATGATGATGCAGCAGACAATATATACAGGTTATGATCTAAACAAGTCAGATTCACCTTTAATCTTTGCTAAAATCTTTTGATGGACCTCTTTTTAATTCAATTGAATCCAAGCCACAAAATTATCTACAACTGACATTTGATTAGATTTTCTTAAAGGGGCATTATGTAACATTAGATGAAGAGCTGAAGTTCTGACAATATACAACCACATTTCAATGTGGGCGTATAAAAAATGTGGGTGTATAAAAAAGAATTAGTATTTGGTATCTCGATAAAAAGCACGATTCTATAGGAACTGAATAATAAAACCTACCAGCATTAGTTTAACTAACTTACACATGATTTTCTTTATTTGGACCAAAACTATCATTCATATCTTTCTGTAGATGTATAGCCAGATGTGGTATTCGTAATATCGGTCGCTGAACATGTACTAAACGATGTTCTATCTTACCTTTATTCTACAGAAAGAAGAAATAGAGATCAATACATCAACTGTATAAACTGCCACCCTGTGGGCCCTCAAGCCCCCAAAACAGGTGTGTATTACAGTTTGAAAACCAAGCAATAGGCACAATAACCAAAGCCAATTTTGCTTTAGGGGTTTTGGTATTGCCATCAGTACAAGGTCTTGAGACTTGAAATGAGATATATACTCATTATAAAGATTTATTTTCAAACTTTTTCAACTATAATGGGCCCGGTTATTCATCAATCAAAGCAGGATCTCTGTGTAACAACATGACATAAGACACACATAAAGGGAACAGATACTCTAAATCTAATTTTATTTTTACATTGAAATTTACAAACACTGGAAAGGACCTCCATGATTCTACAAGATAGATAAATATGCTTCCATTAAATTTAGAATGACACTTATACGAAAACGATTAAATTGCAGTCAATGGCATACATGTTTTACCCATGATGGAATACATGGGCACAAACAACGCTTGCTTCCAACAGAAAGGCCTGCTCCTCTTTGAATAGTTTAATATATTTGAATAGTTACCTGAACCATGACCCGACCTCCAACTGTTAAATCTCGATCAAACCAGGTATTCCATATGCTATCCCCATAACATTCAACACCAACCATACAATAACCACTCTTTATTTTACCAGATACTGGCTTCACCTTCAAGCATATAAATCAAACATGCATACAGATTTAGAGCTTTTTTTTATTTTCAACTATGCTCAGTTAAACAGTTAAATAAATAGTACTAGCCATTAAAGGCTCAATACCACTCTTGTTGTAACGGAATAATATGTCCCAATCTTTATTCTGGTCAACAAATTCTACTATTTTACAATATTCCAATTAATTGATGATACAAATTTCATCTTAACACACCTAATTTAAAAAATTAGAAAAATTCAACTAAAAGATTTGAAAAGCCTGACGTAAAGCTTTTCATATGTTACTTGGATTTTAAAATATTTTTGAACCCTCTGGACAAGTAAAATAGGATTTAATGGATAATTTACACAACATGTAGGACACTAACACATCTAGTACTTAGAATAAGGCTATTTTTTATTTTCTGGAGCTGTCAAGCCAGCAAGAGTGTTATTGTCCCTTTAAGCTTTCCTGTAGCACATAATAGTAAATCAACTGTACTGAATAGTTTTCATACAGTATTTTGAATGGGCTCAAGTTCAGGGTTAACAAATATTTCTGTTAAGCCTTCTGTTCAGAGGGAGGATCCTTTAGTTCTATAATTTTGTATTTTGTCTGATAGGTATGATAAATTTGGGCTAATAATGTTACTCTTATCTACCTTTAAACATGGACTGTCCGTATGGGCTCCAACAATTGTAAAACCATTTCCTGGTTCATAACGACCACCAACAGCAAACGCAATTATAGTCGATTCATTTCTCGTTACAAAATACTGAAAACAAAATAAAGAGAAGTTAATAAAAATAAAAGTACAGTTTTTAATCAGTAAAATCATATTTATTATGGATTAGCATGACAAAGAGATTATAGTTTGTTTTTCTAGCTCTAACCTTGCTTAATGGTTGTATGTTCCAATGATCTGTTTCTCTCAATTCTGTAAAGCCTGCTGTCAATAGCCTTTTCTTGATTTCATCAACAGCTGAATAATACACAATTCAAATAACAGCTACATTATGATTTTATACTTTCAACACAAGAATCAGCTTAATCCATGTAGCTTTCAGGACATATGGTGCCAAATAAGGAAATTTTATGTAGAAACATTTACCATGTAGGTTCCGGGGATGATTATTAATATTCCTTCTGCAATTTGTTTTAGAAAACTAACAGAATCATTGTGTTACTAGGAGATGGATTAGAATTAGTATCTTAATCTTAGTTGATCCTAAATTCAGAATGTTTCTGTGAAAGTAGGAACAATGTAAGTCTGTTAATCAGTTCAAGATAGGAACTAGATAAATGCTAGTTTCTGTCATGCCAAGTACCACCCTGATCAGCCGTGAATATTTGTTAGGATGCTACAATCACTGAAAGGGCTGACATCTGTGTGGGTTAATTACACTGTACCTCACTAAATCTGTCTATTGCAGGTCTTTCTTTATTATTATCTAAATTATTAATTAGACATTAATTAACCTATCCAGACCATAATCAACTCTAGTGCCATCGCTAACCTGCGATCTTTAGTGGATTATGAGACGATTTACTGCATAACTTTCCTTCACGATTTAACGATTAAATGGATAATCAAGACTATGATGTTTATCGTACTGACTTTAGTAATGATGATCGAGGTTAGGTGGAAATTTCAATCGTTTTGTTCTCGGTTCATAGTGGATCAATGTAAATGAAATTTTCAGCAAATTGTCTTTACATTATCTAGTTTTTAACTATTATAGTGAGAAATGCCAACTCGTTATCGAATCTCCATAATGTATCTTTAACTTTTTTCCTTCTGCAAATTAAATCCTAGACATATTTTAGTATAAAAAATATTTTCTATTTAGTTTAAGTGGGTATATAAAATGAGTAAAATATTCTGCCCAGACCAGTTTACGTAAATCTAAACAAGGCATGCGCCATCGAGCAGTAGTTTTTTTTTACAGAAATTGCTGAAATTCAATGGGATTATTCATTTTACTAATCTAAATAATGCATATCAATTTAATATAGATCAGACAATACCTACCATGAAAAGGTGATGGTGTCTTATTGATAAAGTTAACAAATTGTTTAGCTGCAGCCATAATCGTCTCAGACTTTTCCTGAAGTATGAAAAAAAAAACCGAAAATTATCCAAAAAAGAAGTTTAATTTACAGCCATTCAGAGGTGCAAAAACACCAACTGCCTTAGACCTAATTACCGGTAGATGTATAGCCTATACCCACAAGCTAACCAGGATATTATATCAAGAAAAAGGGATAGAATTTTCCTGGGGAATATATTTCAAAAAATTTACAATTACTGGGGAATATTTTGAAGTTGTTTTTTCAAATCGTATACAAAAAGTCCATTATGCGTATATGCCTAAAAATAGTATTATAACAATTACTAAACAAATAATATAAAGTATACTTTATAGAAATTCAGTTTTTGTGAATAGGTAACATTAAATAAAGGGCTTGAACTTGTATGACAATATGATTAGTCATAGCTATTATTTTACATGGTAATAGAAAAGCTACCACAGGGGATTGTAACAAAATTCTGTATGCATTGTATGCAATATAGCCTTTTTATTGATTGTTGCTATTTTGCACAATTTTATTTCACTGGTAATAAAAGGCCTAACAGTTGATTTGATCATTTACAAGTCCCCAAGCAAATTCTGGACACACAAGTATTAATAAATATTACCTTCTACTTGTACATTGTATCTATAAAGAATGACATGAAATATTGCCATACTCAAGATTAGGACCTCCTTGTTTAAATTTAGAAGAGTTTTAGTAGCAAAACTTGCCCATTTCCATGCCCTCTATTTTTCATTACAAATATATTCTAATTATTATTAATTAATATAAAATGGACTTCAGACATCAGTTATTAACAAGTTTTAACATCATAACTTCCATGTCTGTCGCTTGGCGTTAAGAAATTTGTGTGCTTTTACATGATTCTACCACTTTCTTAGAATGAGACACTCACTGTCACCTTATTGTATAGACATCGGGTCAAAGGTCTGAGGCAGTATGGTAAATTAGCACAATGTAATAAAAAGAAGGTTGACTTAACTGGGTGACCAAATTAAACCACTTACATACATATACATGTGTGGTCAATCAATCTGTTTAAAATACAGATCTATATTTCGTTTCGTTTTCTGTATACTTTTGATGGCCAACACTACATGAAGATCTGACAAGTTGTACTCGAAGGTCTTGTCAGGGGTCGTACGAGCGGCTTTTGACCTTCTGACGTCAGACATTGATTAATCAATCAGCGTTGACGTTTCTAGTGGTTTACCCACAGTTCCGTTCCGTGCATGGCACGCCAAGAAGTCGCCGTATTAAACAGACCGCTTCATTGGTTTATCCCTCACTTCAACCAAAACGCTGGTAATATAACAACTCTTTCAGATCCTAGTGTTGTTAAAGACAAGTAAAACAAATTTTTGAACTATAAAAAACGAAACGAAATAGGATCTGTGTTTTTAATCAGATTGATATATGGTATTAATCTGCTCTAAATGTTCATGTATCTAAACTTTTTATATAAATTAGACCAGCACATTTTCCCAAGTAGGCAGTTGGGGGATAATAACCGGCGTAGACATCAGAGGTTTACGTTTAAATGAGATAGTTACTGTAGTTTTGTTGTAGAAATTATCATTGCATGTACATGCACATATCCACACCAGGTAGTGTCACATCACTCAATTTAAAATAATTGTTGCAAGTTAGTCTTGGAAAAGTCATTATAAATGACACAGTGTACCCTTTTAAATAGAAGACTGTGACAAAGACAGTTTGACATGATAGGGCCACATACTATATTACTGGTTTCTTTTTGGAGTCCCTAGACAATGTCCTACTTGTCTGCTTTAACTGGGATAATGCAGACGGGCATACAAATTTTCCTGAACAGCGGCATTATGTCATACATTTAAGACTGTCTTTGATCGGACGATGTTCGCCGACGGTTCCAATCCATCCCTTTATAGCTATAATATTAAAATACCGCTTTTCCCCACCTCTGTTCTAATGCTATTTTGGAATCCTTACTATTTTTCACTGTGATTCTTCTTTGTTCACCAAAAGGAATCATTTTTTGCCACAGCTGACACACAGAAGTGTTGTCTACCGGACTCGTTTTTAATATTTGCTAGGTATCCTAACCCAAAAGTTGAACCTAACCTTTACCCTTATAGACCTTGACATAATATGCTACTCCAATACATAATAATATGGTTTCTTACTGATCTTTCACTTCATGATTTCCATCGTTAAAAATTATTTCTATCATAATTTTATATTTTCATCCAATTTCTTTTGTCTCAATAGGGCCTTAAATTAAAAAGCTGTCAGGAGAATGCACTTTTGAGGACTCTCCAATTATCAACCAACAGGGAGCCACAGTGGCTATTGTAAGTGCAAAGACGCTGGCTCGCTAGCCTGGAGGTCGCAGGTTTGCTCCCGGTGTATCTAGGCTAAGAATGTTCATCACGATGGTGCTGGATGGAGGACCTAACAAGGACAGTTGTCTAGTCGTTCAGATGGGATGAATAAATGTGGTACTGTGTTGGCCTACATGTAAAAGATCCCATGGCAGTTGGAATTTGATATACTGACCCTATAGGCCTAACGATGCGGTCTGGGCAAATTTTCCCTTATTATAGCACACTGTATTTGGCTTATGACCCTCTTCATTAGCCTAGTCGGAGCAGAACGCAGTAGGACCTTAAACCCCGTTTATTCAACAACATGTGTGGGCGTATTTTGTATTTGTATACTAATTTAAATTACTATTAGTAACTAGTAGTGTTGATTGACAACCATCTACATTTCTTAAATAATTATTTTTTGATAGCCAGTCCTCCAAATACTCACCTTTACAGGCGCTTTTGATCAAAACGTCAGTTCTATAATAATCAAGAAAATGCAGACACAAGTTGTCTTTTCTTGTGTTCACGATTTCAAGTTAGCTGCGATAAACTCTAACTGGACAGATAGACCATTCTCCACACAATCTCGCTATTCAGTGCGAACTGCAAGAGAAGACAACTCTGTTTGAGAGAGTAGGTCTCAGACTAGTAATTATTTCCCCATATTTCATGAAAATAGACAACTTTTTCCTTAATCTTTTTCTCCCCTCTTCCTGCATTTTTGGGTTGACTTTTTGGTCTAGAATTGGAGAAAAGGGATCAAATTTGCAATTTCATAGCAGTTTTGGGTAATTCTGATGATATTACAGCGGAGGGATAGTGGGTGTAAAGTTAGTGTCTTTCTGCAGAGCAATCAAGAATCAAGAATAATCATTGTGTCGGAAGTGAGATTTTCACCCCAGTCAACATCAAATCCCCGTAGCAAAAAATCTAAACGGTCAACCCCCTACAAAGTTATGATGAGGATATTGTCAAATGTGGTCCCCATTGTGCCTATAAAGATTGGAACCGACGGAATGTTGAGCAAAAAGTTACAGCCTGTGATGTTACAGCCATTTAACATTGAAGTCAATGGGCAAATGCGACCAGTGAGAAAAGGCTATATTGATGCTATATCGTGGCCCTAATTATACGGAAAAGGGGTTGGGCTTATCGTTGGTGCTCAGGATATTAATATGAATACTGAAATGAAATGGGTTTAACGTCCTACTGTTCTGCTCCTATATATGCTGGGCTAATGAAGACGGACATACGCCATACAGTGTGCTATGAGGGAAATTGCGCTGCCCCGGCAGCGGCACTATCGCCTACTCTTATATCGAATTCCAACTGCCAAGGGATCTTTTACGTGCATTCCAATGTATACACGGGACCTCGGTTTTTCGTATCATCGGAGGGACTGGACAGCTGAACTTTCTCGGCCAATGCAGGGATCGAACACCCGACCTCCAGGCTAGCGATCCAGCGTCTTAACCACCTAGCCACCGTGGCTCCCTAACAGGAATACTATTAGCCCTAACCCTAATTAGATTTTTAGTCCAGAAGGGTACAGTGAAAAAAATAAAAAATAAAATTTTGCCTTCTAGTCGGCAAAATAAAGTGACAGAAATTCCGTGACCTTTTATCTTGTCATCCAAGTTTTCGCGAATCGAAATTCGTTTAAATTTACTGATGGATAAACATTTAAAACATTTAAAATCAGTGTAATAAACAGTTTCTAGTTCCACTCTAGTCACTCTGCTTTATGCGTGGCATATGTTTCGAGCGAGGCAAAATTCCAACTGTCTGGGAATAATCTTCGTATAATCCGGTCGCCGAAGGGGCGTGGGATGGGGGTGGGATCGCCACCCGAGCTGTGTATTTATAAGATCAAGTTGTTCTAGACCAGTTTTTTGGCATAGATTCCGGAATCTGGGTGGTGATCAGGTGTTTGAGGGGGCGTTTTCGAGGTATGGGATGGAGGGGGGGGGGGGTCCAATGTTTACAACTGGGGGAACATGTGATTATGTACGAAAAATCGTGTTTTTAGATTGTCGACCGTATTGAGGTCATAATTTTTATCCGATTTAAAAACACGTTGGAATATATCACAATTACACCCTACGGATAGTTGAGTTCAAACTTCGTAAATATCGGACCAAAACTGACAGACAAAATGTTGTGGACCCTCTAGAGGTCACAATTTTCTTTTGATTTTGATGAAACTTAAATGTAAGTTAATAACCCAAAGATCTTGGTTCCTTTCGATATTCGGCATATCAGATAGTAACTTCCTGAATTATGGCCCTTGATTGTACGAAAAATCGCGTTTTTAGCTTGTGGTCCTTGTAGAGGTCACAATTTTTATCTGATTTAAAAAAAAATGTGTGAATATATCACCATAACACACTAACATCATGGATCCTTTTGATAATCGCGGATACCCGAACTAAACTTCCTGGATTATGGCCCCTGATTGTTCGAAAATGGCATTTTATGCTTGCAGATTCTCTAGAGGTCTGTCAATCGATACACAGCTGATGTCCATAGAACAAACATGCCAAACAGAGCAAGAACCAGACCATCAAGAAGAATGTTAACAAGTGGTTAGACCCAGTTAGTGGTTCATATCAATAACCTGATCTACATAAAAATCGACTGAAATTACTTCCGAAATGTCTATCCGTTTCCAATTCGAATATTTTTTTAACAGATACACTCTATCCGAAAATTGTCTCCATTAATATTTGTCATATTAAGTTATCACGTATATGAAAGCACAAGAAAATTGACACATAATACAGCCAAATCACAACTAAAATTATTCATGATCACATAAAAATGTCTGATTAATGACCATTATGCATTAATAATTTAGAACACACGTGGTGCTCGACATATGGAAACACAACATTTTAAACAGAAAACCTAAGAAGTTATACTTTGAGAATCTGAAACCGCGGAAGAGCAACAATTCTCCGAACACCCATGCCCAGAATCTGATGAGTTCTTTCTTGACCTACCAGCTTTAATGTTTATGGTAGTGACCCCTAACTGGGTTTTATTACTGTTCGCAGACATGTGTTTTTCATTTAAATCATTTACGCGGTTCTCAGAATCGGCTGTCGTCATCGTAATCCCCACTGATGACGTCGTTGACAAATCTGGCTCGACTTCAATACGAACATCACTTTCGGTTACTTGATTTTCATCTGATGAAACATTTTCTTCCTCTTCGACAATTATGTCCACGTCGTAAGGGTATAAAGCTGGTTGTGACTGAGACCGACCATGATCATTCACAAACGCTCGATTCTGAGCAAACCAACCGTTCGTACCGATACTAGATCTTCTACTGTCGGGTTCAGAAAAAATGCTTTGTTTCCTAACATTCGGTCCCTGGAAAATACTGCCACGTTTGTCCATAACAGAAAAAACACTAGATCGTCTACTGGTATCCTAGAAAATAAAAAAGAAATAATTTTTAAAAAATTGTTTACTTTATTCAACTAACACAAATAAAAGTTTACACCACTGGCCACTGGCTAATGTCCTAATGTTGTGGTAGTCTAAAAATTTAATCAAGTCAAGAAGCGATGGCAAACGTGTGCGTATGATATCTAACGTTCGCTTCTACTAAATACTTTGCTTTGCTTAGTAACGGATTTCGGAATTTTCAATAAATCAGAGCTACAAATAGTAAGATACTTAAAAAAATATAATATTAAAGGCTAATAGAGATAATTTATTTTTATTTCGACATGGTGTGATGTAGATCCATTAGTTACTTACATTAATTAACGTGTCATATCTTTCATCTTCTCCTATACTTGTTTCAACTCGGAAAAACTCAGAGATTCTTTTGGGTATAAAATGTTCTAATAAAAGTAGAATGACTCCAAATACAATAGTTGTCACACCTATAAAAGAAAACAAAACGTGAATAGAAAATGTAGTTTGGCTTGAAACGAAAGGGTGTCGTATAACCCAGCTTTCAAAATAATGTGAAATGAAATGAAATGGAGTTTAACGTCCTACTGTTCTGCTCCTAACCTGGGCTAATGAAGAATCTCCATAATACCCATGGTAAATGTCCAAACTGAAACATCGAACTTAATTAAGCAAATGATGTTGTCTAAAGACGAGTAAATATAAAATTTTGGCTATGTGCACTGCACATCCATCACAAATTTATTTACCTGTTATAAGAGTCAACCAAAAACACCAGCCATAATGTGTCTTTAATAAGACGTCATCAAAAGTAATAGCCAGTGATTGGGTCGGCATTAACACATGATACACGATACTGGCCAAAAACATTGTAGTACCCGTAAGAACCATCATGTAGGCACCGTAAACTATAACAGTAAACAGCAGTAAATTGGTTATCAACCAGAAAGCAAACGATGTCCTGCAAAAAATAAAAATAATAATTAATCAAAGGACAAATAACATTTAAAGATATATTATCCTTAGCCTTTGTATTTGAATTTCTTTTTAAACACAATTCTAACGTTTCTATACATTAATAGGTGAAACAGTATTGTGGCATTACAAATTCCAAACAGCACTGTAATACACAAATTTAAATCAATAGGCATGAATTGGTATGTATTTACCATAACAATGCACTTGCTAAATTCCCTGCCAAATGAAAGGAGCGTCCCCAACGTAGACCACCAGAATCAGTACATAAATATTCAGTTACACGCAAGATGGGATCAGGCAATCCTCGTAATAAATAGACAGACAGATGCTCTTCTTCGTGACCGACTAAAAAAATAAAATCAAAGAATAATTAGACATGTGTACAAGAGAACAACAACAAGATAATATTATTTTATATTCTATTATTTCATGAGACTTCTGGCAACTGCCTTGGACAACATTTTTGTTATTTGAAATAGGACGATGCCATAGTGTAAGTGGTACCATATAATGGCGACATATTTTACTATGGGTGTATATAGCTTAAAAGTTAAATGGTAATTTTTATTGATAGGAACTCTTTACTCACAATCTGGCCATGGTAAAGCTTCGGAATAAATAACTTCACCTCTTCTCCCAGGTTCACCAAAATATCCTATAAAATCATTTATATGAGTAAAAGAGAAACACAAACGGAAAGCAAAACACAATGAACGAATAACAATTTCATATTGGTTAGCAGTTTCAGGTGGCAGCTTTCCTGCCTTTGCGAGTAACTTTCGGGCATTGCCAATCTGAATAAAATAGACAAATATTCATCCCATTTATTCTGATAATCACGAGAATCATTTAAATAATAGTAATAAAAAAAAATGAATGAAATGTTTATAAAATTTTGATAAGACACCGTAAGCAGTTGAGTTTTTTTATCGTCTGTATATAGGATTTTCTTACCCCTTAAAGTAACGTTAGCGCCACGAAGACCGACTTGTATTCCCACTTCTCCTGTAAACATATCAGGTGATCGATAAACGTATGTACTGGATATGTTCTCCTTTCCCATCAACCAGCAATGTCCATATAAAGATACTGAAATATAAACAATACCCATATGCAGATACTAAAATATAAAGAATGGACATAAAAAGATACGTAAAATACAATGACCAGATACACAGATACTGATATATACTCTTAAAAAAGAGTAGGGGATATTCAGAAATAATACAAAACTGCGGAAATGCACTGCTGTTTTTATTATTGTCTACACATGAGTAATTGCTCCACCAATCCTCAGACATTCAGCAATTCGTCGTTGCATGCTCCTAATCAACCGTCCAATCACGATTTGGGGCAATCTGACCCATTCCTCTTGCAGTGACACGGCCAATTCTTGCAGTGTTGTCGGTTGACGTTAACGTCGACGAACACGTCCCCCGATCAAATTAAACGTAAAACACTTAAGCAAAGATACGCTAAACAGTAAATATTATGCAAGAACCGATAGGAAAGCAAGCATGGATAGATAAACCAGCACGCAGCAGTTTTCACCAACCCTTCCTTGAAGTGTCAAGTTTGATAATGAACCCCTCCCACGTGTATGGCGCTATTGCGTGTCGCATGTGCAGCTCAGTGGTTCTGTTGGGGCGATAAGTTCTTCATCTGTGAACATACTCCCAAAGCATGTCAAATTTCCATGACTATTTATCATATCGCAACCTGCATAGGTATTTGCATTTCAATATCCCCTACTTTTTTTGAAGAGTTTATAAGTGTAAAATGTAATCTAATGAAATTGTAGACTTCGGGATGCTCTTGCCTACCAGTTATCCAAGCGATACATTATTAAACGAAATGCCATGTTTTAGAAAATGAGACAGGGTTTATAGTAATGTTAGCGCCCGTACGAAAGTATTTTTGAGTTAGTTTTGACTATATTATCTCCTGCCTAATGGCTCATCAACCCATAACCATTCTAATTTATCGGCAATATGATGTGAACAGAAAAATCCATCCGTTGGTCTGAAAATATGACGAAAGCGGGATTTTTAAGAGATTTAGTGGTTGACTTACCCAAAATAATGGAGCCAACAGCTACGCCGTAGAATGAACGAACTACTGTACCCCATTTCTAAAAAAAAGAGGAATATTCGTTTACGTGCATTATATTTTGCTTTTAATAAACATGCAATATTGTTAGCTATGTGAACTTGCTGAATAAATAAGAGTACACCACAGGTTGTTCTTTAGACAGTAAGCGTACCACTGTACCAAAAATCAGTCAATAAAATGGAATAAATAAATGTTACATAGGTGCATTTTCATTCGGAAAGTATATTTATTTCACAGTGACCGATTACAATTGCAGGGGAGGATCCGGGGGAGCGAGGGACCCCCCCCCCCCAGCTCAGCAACATAAAAAAACTGTAAAACTCTTTTCATGAGAAAAGTGTCACGGTCGTGTGCTTTATCCTTTATCATCAGATGAAGGGATGAGATAGGCATTCAAAGTGCGAGATAATGATATATGTGACATCACATGATGCTTTACATCAATGAAATTAAATCACAATGTGATCCTATTAATTCATAACAAGCCAAAATAAATAGATGACACATAGTAATTAATCGCACATTTATTTTTTTCAAAAGTATCGAGCAATCAAACCATACACTAAGTTTCATCACTCTCTATCAGAATCAAGATTATCTTGTCCCAAAGCATCAACCAATGAAATTGATTAGCTCTGCTAGCTTTAGCTCGAAATGTAAATGGACTCAGTCAAGACATTCACCTAATGAACATCTACATCAAGTTTAAACATTCTACCTCAATTAAAAACAGAGTTGTTATGTTTCAAAGTCTTGACCAATCAAACTGCTTATCGCTCCTTAGCCTAAGCAGAAAATTCGTACCATCGAACTTAGTCAAGGTAATGAAATAATTAATCTATATTCATAGTTTCATCGCTCTCATTTCATTACAACCAAAGTTATCATGCCTACAAGCATCAACTAATCAGATTGCTTATCTCTGCTTACCGTAAGCAGACAATGTTCATCATCGAACTAGATCAAGGCATTCGCCTAATGAACGCCTACACCAAGTTTGAACATTCTACCTCAATTAGAAGAGAGTTATTGTGTTCCAAAGTCTCGACCAATCAAATTGCTTATCGCTCTGCTCACCCTCAGCAGAAAATGTTCATTATCGAACTTAGTCAAGGTATTTATGTCATAAAGCTGTACACCAAGTGTCCTCACTCTCATTTAATTAGAACTAAAGTTATAGTGTCCCAAAGTATCAACCAATCAAAATGTTTATCTCTGCTTACCCTAAGCAGAAAATTCTCATCTTCGAATTCCATCAAGGCATTCACCTAATAGACACCTACGCCAAATGTGAACATTCTAACTCAATTAGAATGAGAGTTATTGTGTTCCAAAGTCTAGACCAATCAAATTGCTTATCGCTCTGCTTATCCTGAGCAGAGCATGCTCATTATCAAACTCAGTAATGGGATCGATGTATTGAAACTATACACCAAGTTTCATCACTCTCAATTAATTAGAAATAAAGTTATCGTGTCCCAAAGCATCAACCAATCAAATTGCTTATCTCTGCTTACACTAAGCAGGAAATGCTCATCTTCGAACTCCATCAAGGCATTAACCTAATGAACACCTACACCAAGTTTGAACATTCTAGCTCAATTTGAAGGAGAGTTATCGTGTTCCAAAATCTTGGCCAATCAAAAGAAAGAAAAAATATCCCCAAAAATAGGATATTAAGAAATTTGCAAACGTTATATCTTGAATTGAAAAATGTCCTACGTTACTGTCAAACTTAAATTCTATAGAAGAAAAAAATATATTCTTAGTTATTTGTTTTTAGAAATCATCAGTGTTTTCAAAAGTTATAGTTCTAATATAAAATTCAGTAGATTTACACTAAACGCATTCAAAATTCTTAGATTTCGTGCACTAATAAAAATTTATTGTGGGGTTTACATTATTTGACAGTTTTATTGGAATTCAACAATGAATTTATATCCATTTTAGTGTCTTAGTTTAACCATATTTAAAAGGTCAAGCCGGGGTATATAGCGCTATATGTTCATGGGAAGGTTACTGCAAGACCAATATTTTCTGTGTAATAGTTATATGCTATATTAAGAGATGTAGTTAAATCAGCTTTTAATATAATTGGCGGCAAGTCAAAATAACGGTTATTTGCGATATCACCCTAGGTAGAAGCAGACGTTAACCCCTATAACTACTACAGTAAGAATAACAGTGAAATATAGAGTTTGAGAAATTACATATATTTCTGCATCAAACGGCTTGATGGACTTCAGGTTTTCGTTCCATCCGAACAACTAACTTCTTATCTTTGCCAGGCACCCCGTCTTACACCACTGACAAGTAGAAACCAGGTTGGAAAACCCTGTGGAACTTTCCCGGCATGCGCCAAACATACTGAACCGTTGTGACTTTAAAACACAAAAATCTCTCAATCGCTATTTGACGTTTAAATTCCTTCTTTTATTTTTTACTCCGCCATCTTTATGATTCTATAATGTTTGAAAAGTTATTCCGCTAATATCTACATCAAAACTTTATTATTGCTTTAGGTTTTTTTGTCTTCTGAATTACTATCTAAATAATACCATTCAGCCTTTTTGTGTACAATTCAAATATGAAACGTTTCAGTAACTTTCTTTCATGTTGTTTTGTTAATCAATAGAAGAAAAAATATTATTAGCGGGGATAATAAAAAGACCATGCCCGGTATAATATCCTTACAGTAGTTTGACAATTCAAACTTTATATTTCAATCGTTCAGATAATAATGATTTTGTCAGCAATATCTGTACCGACGGGTGGGGTTGGCACGCGTCCAATCCGTGTTCTTTGACTCAATAAATCTTCTTTATATATACTTTATAGAAACATAATAGAATAAAATATGAACTTCATACTCCGACAAATCAATCACGTTAAACGTCAGTCAAATCATTTGTAAGTATTAATTTGGAGGACTGATCTGCTGGATTATTAAATTTTATGAAACGAATATTTCCATAGATTAACGATCTGACACCCTTCTATAAGTTCGGATTATTTAATTTGACATGATCATTTTAACGGTCGTGTCAAATTTACTGACCATGAAAAACGTAGGGGAAATAAGTACATTACCGATTCCGCATGGTATTAATTATTTGCAGGAGGCGTGTATTACTAAATTTCAACAGTAGTTAATAATTAAATGTCACACGAAATAGTAAAAATAACATAATATCTCGTCTTTATTATATTACTATAGGTAGTAGTACTAGTAGTAGTAGTAGTAGGTATTAATCTTATTTGACATGTTCATATCATACTCGACCCCCAAAAGTTCTATTTCTTTTTCAGTCTGGTTCCCCCTCGCAAGTTGGCCTTGTAAAGAATGGATGTACTCCGCATGGTACCGAAAACCGCCCACCAGTGCACTCATTATGGCTTAGGCCTACAGAAGAACCATTGACAGTCTTCATTACGCCGGCTCGGTGTATAAAAAGGACGCTCAACCCCATTTTATTTCATTTCATTTCATGTAGAGATCAATTCAAGTCAAGTTATAACAGAACGGAGGGCCTGGTAGTGAAAAAGGCGTCTAGCAGTCGTTCGGATGGAATGAAAAAACCGAAACCCATCCGTGCACTCGTTGACATAAAAGAACCCTATATATTTCAATTCCCATCATTAGGAATTAAGCTTACTATTTTACTTGTGAAAGTGTCATGGTATTTTATTTTATAACGAAATGAAGTATCGACTGACATCACGACACCGGTAGCTATACTGTAGATCAATTTATCGGGTGATATTTGTTATGACTACATCGCTAATGTCGACAGCGGCTGGTAAACTGGCTTAACGGGTAAAATCAACACCAATTCAATAGATTATATAAGTACAATATTACCAGCTTTGCATTTCTAGACGAGTACAGGAATAACTCATTAATTCTGTCGTCGACATTTACTCTTCAAATGCAGCTTTCGAATTATGATAGTATTGATATTAAGTGTCCACGTACTAAAGTGTATCTGCCAGTGCTGGTAACAATACAATAGGCCCATATACTGTTTCCAATGATGGTGTCCAATGGTTTGAAATAGATTTTATAAATTTAAATAAAAACGAGCGATATGAGGTTGAATTATTTAGAATTTTAATAGTAGGTCTAGTATTCCTTGTCATGTACATTGATTATAAAATACCGTTTTATAAACCTGATAAAGGCTGTTTAAACATCATGAATTATTCTTTTCAGGGACGTTTGGGTGTGCCTAATTTTCTTTCTTTTTTTTTGGTGGTAATTATAAATATTATTTAGAATACCATATGCCACATAAGAAATATTTGTAGCTGATGTCGATTAAAGGGAATTGAAGCTTATTATTGACCCTACCTCCTGCTGCCTTGTGACTGAATTCTGACCTCTTTTAACCCTAACTAAAATGTCCCACTGTCCAAAAATTGTGAAACACAAACCCTTTTTATGTACAATGAACAAACCCTGTGAATTTAAAAAAAATGCTGATAAGTAGCGTGGTCACAAGAAAGTGACAGACTTATGTACCTTACAATAAAAATTTTTTTCAAATAAACACTATAATTGATTAATTCCTTATTTATTTCTGGTATCCTACATTTGATTGTAAAACAAATGTGATTATGTACTTCAATCAGTTAACAATAAATTCTAAATTGTAATACATCAAATCTTATAAAGTCATTACTTTAAATAAATAGCCATGATCATAATCAATTTTACATTAATTACTGCATCACAGAGTAAATTTTGCCATCTCTAGAGGTTTCTTTATAATTCTTTTGGCACCCTTAATTTTATTATGTATGATCATGAAAAAAATGGGATGTATGCAAAATGTAGAAATATATCGAAATTTTGTTATCAACAAACAATTGAAAAATAAATTTTGACAGCACCTGGTTCATCCATATTATTAATATAACCAACTAAATATAACAAATTTTCAAAAGTATGTGCATATATCAATGGATCAACAAATAATTTTCTTTATTAACTGATATAATTTCAAGGATTTCATCAAAAATCGTAGTAAATTCTTCTAT